TGTGGAGGAACGGTAGGATAGTGGTTAGCGCGCTGCGCTGAGAACCCGGCGACCCGAGTTCGATTCCCGCTCCCGGTCAACATCAGTGAGGATTATCTGAACCAGGTCCTGGGCCTCCCCTAGGTCGACTCTGCCTCAAATGAGTACCTGGTGCGGTGCGTATACATCGCCACTAGGGATACAAATACAGCCGGGCGTGGTCCCGGCCACCCACCCCCTCTTGTACCCTGCTGATCTTTATAGGTGTTCGCTAACAGCACTGACCCAAAAAGTCTGTTAATGCTATACGGAGGATCTTTATTTTTTGCGTGTGTCAATGTGTGTATGTCGATATGTGTGTGTGTCAGTGTGTATATCTGTGTGCGCGTGTCGGTGCGGGATGCTAAATACACCACCGTGGTGATAAAAGAGGCGTTACTAATGAAAACAGTCACACTGACGCCCGTATCTATCTCTCCCTCTCTGACTCACACTCACACACACGCACTCTATTTCACACAACCCGAGACTCTCACACCCACATTCCCTCCCACTCACACACAGACACCGACGTTGCCACAGCGCTTGTGCCAGGCTAGGTGCACCTTGAAGACACGTGTAGTGTCGAAAGATTGCTCGCAGGAGGTCATGGGACAGATCCAGGTGTTGTGGGTTGGCTGAGATGACCGGTAGATGCACCACCTGTACTCCCCAGTGTTTCAACTTTGCTGCGTTTTATCCACTCGGCAAACCGCTCGTTGTTGTGAGTGTCGCTCTTCCGTTGTTATTTGAAGGGTGAATACCTGCAACTGCCCAGTAGCATCCTTCACGAGCTTCCTCCAATGAGGCCAAGTCCACTCAATTCCACATCCTCCTGTACCGCGTCAGTCCATCTCTTCTCTGTTCCGTGCCGCACCCGTTTATCCCGCTCTATTCGGCCAAACAGACGCTGATTTGGCATGCGGTAGCTGGGCATGCGGGCTACATGACCCAGCCAACGTAGCCTCGCTTTCCAGATCTGAGCACCTCACACAATCCGGCCTGGAAAAACTCGGGATTGATCGTAGACAGGCCAACCTCTGAGGTTTTAAGCCAGCGCAGATGCCTTTCTATGGGGGTCCACATATCCAAAACGTAGAGAATGCTGAGCATCACTGTGACCGAGAAAACCCGGAGATTCTTATGGATTGATAGACCAGGTAGCTTCCACACAGCGTTACGCAGCTGATTAACTAAATGAGACCTCCGCTGCCAAACTGGAGCTGGCCATGAACACACTGCCCAGGTATGGAACTTCTCCAAACTTCCCACATCTGCCCCATCACTCATGGGGAATTGAAGGGGTGGAGTGTTCCATAACACAAAATACCCAGGCAGGTGCTTTGTTTTGGTGGGGCTGATGGTAAGGCCCCACCTCTTGTTGGCATGCTCCAGGCTCAGCAGCAGAGCCTCCAACTATTTCTCATGTCATGAATATTCATAATGTGGTTGATCAAAAGATACTATCCCTTGACTTCATTCGGGAAATTATCAGCCTCCCATTGTATCTGCGGCTGATGGAAATTCCTCTGGGACAGCAATGGGAAGCTTCTCGCATAAAGTGGTCACAAAAGATGTTAAACGGTGGAGGGGCCAGAGGACATCCCTGTCACACTTCAAGGTGAACAAGTAAACGGCTTAACACGTAGGCTTTCGCGACCGATATGATCCATAAAGGTTTTTTGGGTTCAATCGCGTAAATGTGTCGTTAAACCCGCCACCACCCGACAGCCAATTAGTAAGGTTTGGCATGTACACACACCTTAGTAATTTGCTGTTGTTGGTTAACTCTCCAACACACCGGTGTGCTGAATTAGTAACCAATTTGCACATTTTGTTTACGTGACAAAACTCACAAATTTGGTTGTGTTGGGTCGTGGTGGGTTTAAGGACAAGTTTATATTTACACGATCTCACCCCCCAAAAACAAAACTTTATTTAGGTAAACGACTCTAACCTCAGGCCACGCAGGATTACCCGGGCCTGACCACCATCACGAAGGCCCTTAATCGTCACGAGCAGACGGCCAGAGCGACCCCGATGGCGAGAAGACCAACCCAAAGCCTTCTTGATGGCACCGTGTACGCATTTGCCAAGTCAACAAACAAGAGACATGCGTCCTGTTGAATGCCCCGACATCTCTGCCGTGGGGGTGGGGGGGGGGTGAATGTTAACTTGCCAGAGTTAGTATCACCCCGTCCAACACTCCACTTGTAACATACACACGTGCATGGACGGCCCTGTTGTCAATCCGCTGCTGGATGAGGGCTTCGACCAAGTTTGCATTTTCTCCGGGTCCTCCGGTTTTGCCCTCCACGTTTGGAATCAACGTGCGCCTAAGAGTATTTGGCTGCTAGATAAATGTCCACGTGATGAGCCACTTCGTTGAGATATCATTTGTGGCCAGGTCGCTCCATAGCTCAGTGGACATTAGCTGGTAAAACACAATTGTTTATCTTCTTGGTTCTGTCAGTAAAGTCACGTAGAAGGGAAATCATAAATGAATAAAAATAAAACATAATAATAATAAAAAATTATATTATTTTATTCTATTTTATCATGTTTTCATTTTATTATTCTATTATTTCCCTTCTACGTGACTTTACCGAAAGAACCAAGAAGATGAATCCCTGCAATCACGAAAGCTTTAAATCACAATTGTTTAGTTTAGTGATGGATCGTGAACAGTGTGGGTGCCCTCGGGTTGCCAACAAACAAAACGACCGCATACGACACAACCGTACAAGGGTTTTGAGAACGGACGGTTACGCTACATATATTTTTTTTATATAGCCTACCACTAAATTGTCAATGTGGCGTGACCCACGACAGCTTATTAATTCTCGATGCCAACACGAGTCGGCGTTCATTATCGCGTGCGCGAGAAACACGCGGGGTTTATTATAGACCTAACGACTCGGGAATGGCCAGCAATAATTTCGCCCCGGCGTTTTCTGATGCCGCTGATTGACATCGGAGGCGACAAAGCCCTCGTCCGTCACTTTTGCCACCGCCCTCACGACCGCACGACGCGCCTGGTGCCTCGCCTGTAGGGACGAGCCCGGCTCGCAATGGGAAAAGGTCCGGGTTCAGGTCCTGGTTGGGGTTCGGGGTGGGGGGGTGACTTGAACCCATGAGCCCTCCGGGAGGACGGTCAAAGTAACCACTTTGTGGTGAGAAGTCAACAGTGGTCGATCCGTATTTGTTGGCGCCACGGTGTCGAGATGTTAACTACCTCTCCTGGTGTACATGAGTGCGTGGCTTCGATCCCGAAACTGACGCCTGCTGTATATTTAAAGCCTGCGTGTCTCTCTCACCGTGGTCGCGTGGAATTTTCTCCGGCTCCTTCGGTATTTCCCACCACATTTAGAATCAACAATATGCGTTCAGAGTATTTGGCTGCTATACATTTCCACGATGAGCCACTTCGTTGAGATATCATTTGTGGTCAGGTCGCTTCTGAAAAAGAACCAAATAGCTCAGAGGGCCTTGCCTGGTAAAATAAAAAAAAACAATTTAAAGTCAATTCTAGATTTGAAGCTTTCGTGACTGCAAGGATTCATATTCTTAGGTTTTTTCGGTAAAGTCACGTAGGTAAAAAATTTATAAAAGTAAAATAAAAATCACGACGTTTCGGAGGCAACACAAGCTTCCGTCTTCAGGTGGAACCGTCGGTAGTTTTGTCAACATTTTTGTCAGTGAAACTCCATGACCAAACAAGATTGTCAAGTTTGAAAAATATCAATTTACGTGGCCAGCGTATGGATACATTTATTATCAACAAGAGCACCAGCTCACCGGTGGCTTTATCAGGTATTGGATTTTCAAACGGAGTTATACCGGTAGGAACCTCCTGGTTAAACCAGCCCACAGAGGATTATTGTGTCCGTCCGTCCGTCCATCCGTCGTGAATCCAAAAATGAGAGGGGTGGGGCTGGGTGGAGGGTGGGGAGGGGCTGGGTGGGGAGGGGCTGGGTGGGGCTGGGTGGGGAGGGGCTGGTCACCCCGTGGTGCCCTTAAAAAACTCAACGTTGAACCTACTCACGCCGGCTTGTGCCCACCCTCAGTCGGCCATATTTACGGAATACACCACGCCGCCGTTGACCCTGGCCATTGACCGAGCAGCCCAACGTTCCTATCAGCTCCCTCCGCAGCAGGAATGTGTTTACAAACCTGGATAGACTTGCCCCATGATTGGAACGCAGAATGTCCACCAGCGGCTCCGCAGGGCTGTTCACGGCAGACGAGCACCGCCTCAATGTTCATTAGAGCAGGAGACCTCTGACTTTTAAAACCACATCAGTGGCCTTTTTTTTTACTCTCTCCACGCCAAATAGGTTCACATTTCAGTGCTCCATTCAAGTGAGCAACGAAGTGGTGGTAATTCCGACAGGTTATATTACTATTACTGTTTTCATTTCACCAGGTAAGGCCCACTGTGCAAAACAGCTCCTTTTCAGAAGCGACCTGGCCACAAATGATAGCCCAACAAAGAGGCTTTCATTTGGAAATGTAAAGCAGCTAAATATTCTAAACGCAATTTTATATTTGTGGAGGGGGAAAAATCGGGAGGATCAGGAGAAAAGTCCACACGATCACGGGGAGAACATGCAAACTACAAGCAGACATGCGTCAGGATCGCAGCCACGACCTTCTGTATAGCAGGCGAGGTAGTTAACACCTCACCACCGTGACGCCCAAGGCAAGTAGGATGGCGAGAGGTTTGACGAGCTTGTGATTGGTTAGTATTTGGGATTGCGGATTGGCCGATTGGCAGATTTGCCTGGGAATGTCAGGTGTTGTAGCAGGCTTGGTTTGCGATGTGGGCAGATGGCAGAAGAGCAATGGATGCTGTAACGTGTTGTGCGTCATCTCCCCGAGTACGTGCGGATTTTCTCTGGGCACTCAAGTTTCTTCCCACGAGGGGGGACAAAAAAAACACTCCATAACGCATGGAGCAGGAAGCCTGCTGAAACTCAGCCTGAAGATTAATCGAGGGTTTATTGTGGAATAATGTTTTTCCCATCATAAGAGAAGAGATGCAATTAAACATTCAGGTCTTTAACAAAGCGATTGTGACGGAGCATTGGCAGTGGTGCACAAGCACAGAAAACAAAAAACTCAACACATCCGTCAACATCGCTGCCCCCTGACAGTAGTGATATATAACAGGTGACGTGTCAGGAAACGGCCCTTCTTCATAGCAGATCACCTCTCTGCAGTGTCACCGACGAACGTGCAGAATGTGTCTCATTCGAGCCATTGCCTCAACATGCACACCTGCGGATTGTAAACGTTGAAAAAACTTGAAGTGCAAGGACCGTCATTTGAAAACCCATAACTTCCAACTCCTCCTGCAGGTCGCGTTACAAATCACGCGTGTCCCCCAGCCGGTGCATGTCGCCGCAGGGCTTTGCTTGAAATTGGACGTCGCGCGGACGTCCGCTGCGTTGGGGTCGGCCGTTGAAGAGCCGGTGCGTAATAGCAGGCGAGCAGGCCGGAGACCGAAGCAATTACGACCGATGCGGCAAAACCACGGCGCGAGCCGTGCGGGTTTGTTCAGCGGCGCGCGAGCCAAGGATGGTGTTTTTTTTTTTATCGCCAAATAAATCCATCCGATTTTTACACGTTGGAAGGCCCGAACCCGTTATTACGAGGACACTTTGCAGCTTGACGCATCGTTGGCCCGTGCGATGTAGGGCAGCGGTAGTTAACCAGTGGTATGCGTAACCCCGGGGGTATGTGTGACAACTCTGGGTGGGAGGGGTGGATGACAGAGGGGGGGGGGGGGGGAGACGTACGCGAGACAATTCACGCAACAGCAGTGGACATGTGTTAACGAAAGCACTAGTATTTCTAATGCCATGTGCTTACCTGGAGTGTGAAATTTGGGGAACCCGTGGCCTTGGAAACCTCGGCCTTCCACGTGTTATGCTCGTGCTACCTCCCGTTCCGATTATCACCATTTATTTCTGCAACTTATTTTACAAATTGTACAAAATACATTCTTGAATCCCATCAATATATCTCTAAAGCGATTCCACACCCCAGCGAACCACGTGACTTCCTCCCAGCCGGCTTCACGGCGCCGGTAAGAGGTTTTATTAGTGTAAATATTATATTGTAAACATTTATAGTTAACGGTTGTGAAGTGTTAACTGAATGTCGTAGGTGTCAATTAGATGTGAACGTAATTAAAACGCAGTAATATTTTTGTGTTTGTTATTGTAGCATTACTCGCAATATTTGTCGGCAGGATGTAAGCGGGCAGTTGACTGGGCCCGGTAGGTGGGGGGGGAGAAGACAAGGACAAGGGGGGATGGGAGCCACCGACGTTATGGTAAGAGTGGGTTCACACCGGATCAGTCTGGGCAGCAATCGCCACACACACCACCATGTGACCCAGAGTTGAGCTCCACCGCGGCTGTGTAGCGAACAGGTTTTATTCACATCGACGTAAAGGCACGCGACATCCACGCAACTCGGTCTAACATCCAGTGTGGGGGCCACGGTCTCTTTGAGGTCCTTTCAAATTACAGCCAAACTCCCACGTGCCGTGGAGATGTGGTGGGCGTGACGGATCCTATCGCCCGCGCTCAGCAGACTGGACGTGCAACCAACAGACGTCGCCGGTTCAACTCCATCTCGGGTTTCTTTAATCCCGTCCACACCGTGTGAACGGGGTTTAACCACGGTCGGTCGGTCGGTCGGTCGATTGGCAGGCAGGCCACGCGCGTGGCTACAAACGTGGGTTAGTCCACCTCTTCCAGCACGTCCCGTCGGCGTGGGGAGCAGACCAACTTCCCGTTTTAGAGTTCCCCAGAGTGGAAGCCTTTTCGCCAGTAGCAGCATGAGCGAGCGGTTGCAGAGCTGCGCATTTACCCGCAGCTTCAGCACCGGCGCACACGGTGCGTCTACGTTGCCTCGCTGCTCTCCTCCTCGTCACCGCCACCGCCACCACCACACTCCTGGCTCTTCCGATGGCTCCTCTCGCGCTTCCGTTTCCTCTTCTTCTTTTTCTTCTTGCGTCGCTTCTTCTCGGCAATCCCGTGGGAATTCTCGCTCCCGCTGCCGCTGCTGCTCCGGTCCGAATTTGGATCCGGGTTGCGATTCCGGCTCCGATTCCGGCTGCGACTCCGTTTCGGGCTTTGATTCGTACTCCGATGCCGATTGAGATTACTATTCCGCTCCGCGCTTTCATCCCGGTCCCGACTCCGGTCCCTTTTTCTGCTCTGCCGTTCTGGACTCCGATTCCGGCTGCCACTCCGTTTCGGGCTTTGATTCGGACTCCGATGCCGACTGAGATTACTATTCCGCTCCGCGCTTTCATCCCGGTCCCGACTCCGGTCCCGTTTCCTGCTCTGCCGTTCTGGACTCCGATTGCGGCTGCCACTCCGTTTCGGGCTTTGATTCGGACTACGATGCCGACTGCGATTATTATTCCGCTCTGCGCTTTCATCCCGGTCCCGACTCCGGTCCCGTTTCCTGCTCTGCCGTTCTGGACTCCGATCCCGGCTGTGACTGGCAACCGGGATTTGAATCCGACTCCGGTCCTGACGCCAGTTCTTGCTACGCTCCGGACTTCGATTCCTCCGGCCCAGGTCCCGACTGCGATCCCTGCTCTCATGCCTGCTCCGCTCTGGACTTTGATGGCGACTCGTGTTCCGACTTCGCTCCCGACTCTGTTCCCGACTCCGGTTCGGATTGTGATCGCGGCCCCAGCCCCGAATCTGGCTCCGGGTTCTCGTCTCCCGGTCATCCAAGCGCCGAGTTTCTCGCGACCTCGACCTGAGAGATGAAACACAACAGCACAGGAAGGAGGACGATGCAAATCATTACAGTCGTTGCCATTAGTTTCAAACCATTCAGCACAGGAATGGTGGCCCACAACAAGCACCGAAACCACAGTAAAGCGAGTAGAACCATGACGAAATGATGAGGATAAGCGTCAAGTGTTACAAAATTCGTGCTCTCATTAAATTTGCAAGGCGCACAAATGTTACGTTAAAGGGACATTGAGCGGCGTGGAAGAAAGGGAGAACGCGTCTTCAGATTCTGACAGAAGTGACGACAAAGATGTCATTGTAAAGTCCATATGACTGGAGCTGTGACAGAGAGCTGACGTTTGCCTTGTCTGGTTCCAGAGTCGGGCTTAACAATGAGGAGGCCGTTTGATGCCGATCCGTATGGATCCGACAAACGGATGCAGACAAAGGAAATGGAACGCAAGCCAAAACGTTGTGCACGGAGAATTTCACGCAATAAATGAAACCGAGACGTGACGAGGAACAAGTAGACCACGGAATGAACGCAGACAAGACATAAATCACGTTTACCGTTCAGACAGGCAAGTGGGCTTGCACATGACAAGTCACGGCTAGAAGGGACGATGGGCCGAGGTGGACACTAATGATGGACTGGCAGCCAAAGGTGGAAACATGGCCGGGGGTGAGTCCACCACAAAGACGGAGAGAGGAAATCAATTCTAGATTTGAAGCCTTCGTGACTGCAAGGATTCATATTCTTAGGTTTTTTCGGTAAAGTCATGTAGGTAAAACATTTAAATTAATAAAAGTAAAATAAAAATAAAATAAAAATCACGACGTTTCGGAGGCAACACAAGCTTCCGTCTTCAGCTGGAACAGTCACAGCACGCTTGCTGGAATTTCTCTTACTTGAAACAGCAATCGTGCTGTGACGGTTCCACCTGGAAGCTTGTGTTGCCTCCGAAACGTCGTGATTTTTATTTTATTTTTTATTTGACTTTTATTAATTAAACATTTTTACCTACGTGACTTTACTGAAAAAACCTAAGAATACGATGAAATCAACTTGTGCAAAGTTGCCGATTGAACGGTTGCATCGCGAGACCCCGAGTGACAGAGACATCTTGGAGAGACCTTCATCCAGCAGTGGATAAATGACGTGTCATGATGATGGATGATTTTACAACCAAGGGGATGGATTTATTTTCAGGGAAAATAGGACGTGAACTTCATTCCACAAATTCGTTGATCCACCAACTGTGCCTCCGACATCAATGTGGATAAGACGCGTTGCCCCAAACTCTATTCAGCAGCTGTGGCAAAAACTCAGCGCTGGTGCAATGGTCGCTCCCCAGCGGCCTCTCCCCCCACCACTCTCTCGCCCCACCACTCTCTCGCCCCACCATTCATTCTCTCGTCCAAGTAATCCCTTGCCCCACCATCTCCTCGCCCCACCATCCTCATTCCCCACCATCAGCTCACTCCCCATCACCCCCTCGCCCCACCACTCTCTCACTCCACCACTCTCTCGCCCCAGCAATCCCTTGCCCCACCACCCTCTCGCCCCACCACCCTCTCGCCCCACCATCCTCATGCCCCATCACCCCCTCGCCCCACCACTCTCTCACTCCACCACTCTCTCGCCCCAGCAATCCCTTGCCCCACCATCTCTCGCCCCACCACCCTCTCGCCCCACCATCCTCATGCCCCACCATCAGCTCACTCCCCATCACCCCCTCGCCCCACCACTCTCTCACTCCACCATCCTCTCGCCCCAGCATCTCCTTGCCCCAACCATCCTCTCGCTCACTCGATGCCTCTTACCGGCTGCGTCGGTCGGTCGTACGATTGTCGGGCGCATTGGAGGGCGGTGCAGCCGCTGCCTCCCCGCCACTCCCCTCCACCTCGCCCCCCTCCGCGGCATCTTCGCGCCACTGCCGCGCCAGCTCGCCCGTGTGCACGGTGATCACCTCCCGGAGGATCTGAGCGAGCGCCGCGGTGGCGATCCCGAGGGCGACGAGAGGGGTTCGCGGGAGACACAACGACCACGCCGTTAACAAGGCGCCCGCGTCATGGAGTGAGGTGCAGCAGTCGTTGTAAAGGGCAGGGAGCTTCTTCCTTACCGAGGGACGAGTAAGACTTTCAAACACCCTCGGGCACGGGAACCCACGCATTGACACGCGGTGGCGAGATGTTAACTACCTCGCCTGGTATACAGGGGGTCGTGAGTTTGATCCCAAATCTGACGTCTGTATATTCGGAGTCTGCGTGTCTCTGCCGCCGTGGTCACATGAATTTTTCTCCAGGTCCCCCGGTTTTTCCCTCCACATTTAGAATCAACACACATTTAGAGTATCTGGCTGCGATAAATTTACACGTGATAAGCCACTCCATTGAGCTATCGTTTGTGGCCAGGTCGCTTCTAAAAAAAGAGCTACATAGCTCAATGGGCCTTACCTGCTAAAATAAAACATTTTGCTTTAGTTTCAACACACACCACGGTCTTACGCGGTCAAAACGTAATGGGCGGGTTGGGTGGGTACAGAGGCCCTTGGAGTGACAAAGATGACTGTCGTCAGGCCTAACATATGACCCTCTGGTATCCGATTAATGCGGCTAAGATGCTTAAATGAGCGCACGAGCGTGTTGGTAAATGAAACCCATAACTCCCAACTCCGAGCGAGCGAGTAAACGTGCAAGTGAGCGAGCGAGCGAGTAAACAAGCGAGCTCGTGAGTGAGGGAACGAGCAAGTGTGTGAGCGAGCGAGCGAGAGCGTAAACGAACGTGTGATTGAGCATGTGAGTCAGCGAGCGAGCGAGCGTGCGTGCATCGAGTGAGCGGGACACCTCGGTGTGGGAGCGCCGGGTGATGTGCACGTTCTTGGCGCGGTAGCTCTGGCGCCGGCGCTTGTAGTCACGCATCTCGGCCAGCACCTCGAGGTGCGACTTGGGGCCGCTCTGCTTCGCCTGGGCTGCACGAGGGACGCGACAACAGACGGAGAGACCGACGGACAAAAGACGGATGGGTGACAGACAAACGGATGGTTAGGCAGGGAAAGAGGAAATATTAAAAATCCAAAAGAGACCATTGGAACCTCATTCGCCAGTAAAAAATATAATGGGTTTTTTTACCCTTCTATCTGGAAACAAAACTGACACCTCTTTTACAAGGAGTCATGTTTGCATACACCACAATACCTGCAGTCATAATGCAAACAAAAAACATAACTCTGCTAATGATAACTCTGATAATGTGCAGGACAGTGCACATTATCAGAGTTATGTTTTTTGTTTGCATTATGACTGCAGGTATTGTGGTCTATGTAAACATGACTCCTTGTAAAAAAGGTGTCAGTTTTGTTGCCAGATAGAAGCGTAAAAAAACAATTATCAATCCAAAAGAGCTTTTATCTCTTCAATGCGTCTTCAGGTCATAGTGAGTGTAGTTCAACATATCTCTACGAGACTCTGTGCAAGTCTACGGGTCGCAATGCAAGTCTACGGGCCATAGTACTAGTCTATGGGGCTCTATGCAATTCATTGGTGATGGGCTGAGACCATCAACTCAGTCTGGCGGCTGCTGAAATCCCAACTCGGGAGGTTTACAGCGGTGACAAACTCGGCATCTCCGACCTCTCCGATCCACCCCGTGCCTCACCCTTCTTGAGCTTGGCCGCCCAGTCGATATAGAGCTCGTCCGTAATTGGCTGGTTCACGGCCGCCCCCATCCTGGCCGCCTCTGCCACCATGAAGTCGTAAATGGCGACGCGATCGGCTCGCGTGAGCTCGCACGCCGCACGGTCGTACGTCAGCGGCACCGCACCTGGTGCAACCGAGTACTCGCCTGCGCGTACACGGCACGTGCGCACACACAAACACACGCGCACACACACGTACACACACGCACGAATAGACACGCAGACACGCGTACGAACAGACAGGCACACGCGCACACGAATAGACATGCACACATACATACACCCACACATAGGCACACAGACGCTCACACATACATACAGAAATGCACACACACACGGATACCGGGATTATTCAGTGCCGGCGAGTGTCGAGGTATATCCGTTTTCTTTACAAAACCCCATGATTTCCGTTTGGCCTATTTACAGCTTGCAGTGATGTTATTAAAACCACTAATACAACCACAAATCAAGATGCTGATTCTAGAACACACGATCCAATGCTACAGTCGGTACTGCGCAGGACGGTTCTGAACCGGGACTGCACCGACGCAGTTAACAACGAGTTGGGCATTGCTTTGCCAAAATGTGTTAATTTGTTGAACTTTTCCTTTAAAACTGCAGGATTTAGCAGAATTAAGTGAATTAAGTGCGGTGACGTCAATAAACATTGGCCACGATGGCTTCTTGATATTGATCGATTACAACCACGTTTCTGCAGTGTTCATAACGATGGTGAAGTTGAGGTCATTTCTCAGCGCGATTGCATGAACCGCCTGTGCACCTTCCAACACGGAAAGTAGTCCCTGAAGTTCCCGATTAAAGTGACTATTGGTTTGTTATTTTAGTCCAGCTATAACGGTATTTGAGGTTCTTGCTTGTAACCGAACAGGCTAAAAACTTGATTGGCTTCCGTAAAAAAATATCGACAATGGGATTCATATATATTATTTTTTTAAACAAAAATAAACAGCCACTTGTGACCCTCCTGAAAAGTAGTCAGGAGAGGGCAACCAGGTGGCATATTTAGTCAAACGTGTGCGCAACACCTGCTCACGAGCACAACCACCCACGCTCATGCATCACAGGGAGAAGGAGATCCCCCCCCATGCCGCCCCCGCCCCTCCCCCGCGATTGAAGGGCATTCTGGGAAAGATTAATGTTACCGTTCGCCACTGATGTTACACCCATGGCTGAGAATTGAACCATGGTTGCCAAGTCTGAACACTCAGTACTGTGCCACCATTCACTCGTGCACAAAGATCCCCCGTTTAGCCTTAATAGACTATTGGGGCAAGTGCTGATAAGCGAGCACTTATGAAGGCTGGCACGGCACAAGATGGGATGGGGTGACCAGTACCATGCCTTTTGTCTCCCCAGTGGCGACGTTTACACATCATACCAGGTACTCATTTGAGGCTGATTAGACCTAGGGGAGGCTCAAGACTGGTTCAGATAACCATCACTGGTGTTGGCCATGAACGGGAATCGAACCCGGGTCATTATTTCTACAACTACCCCAGCTCTTGTCACCCGATTACCCTGCTTGTGTGTTCTCGGCTGTTGACTCACACCTGCAGGTCAAGAACCGGTCACTACCACTGGCAGAGAGTGGATACATCTGGATGAAAGCGGTGTAAAGCGCGGTCTGCAACTCAACTCTTATCCACCTGTTACATTTTGTTCCTTTTTAGCGGCCAGCGTGATTGACAAGCATGTTCGGTTTTTGGTTATTGTTGCTTTAGCGCCTCTGGCCAGTGCAGCAACACCAAATAATTTGGATGGGCTGCTCAGAGATCTTGATACTTCAAGTCTTATTTGAAGTCTGACTTCTCATTTTCCATCAACCCGTCTTCCTTCTTTCATCAGCCTCCACCCTATCATCAATGTGTGCTCGTCTCTCATCTGATGGGTGTCCCAGCTTGCTGTCCTGCCCAACGCCTCTTCGCCGTTACGCTTCCCAAAAACATAACATGACCGAGCCTCTTCCATCTCCTCCAGTGAACAAGACAAAGATCGCCCCCGTATAGTCTTAACAGACCGTTGGAGAAAGTGCCGTTCGCGAGGACCTATGAAGGCCGGCACATGCACTGCACACACACACACACACGCGTGTGTACACGTGCACGAGACTCGGCGACAGTGGGTGAGCTGGTGAAAGGATACCAGGCGGAAGGATACTGCCAGGGCAGACTATACAACACCCTGGCAGAGCGAGCGAGCAAGCGCTAAAACGACCAATGCTTCACTCCGTCTTTCACATACTCACCCCTGTAACTGGGGGAGGGGAGGGGGGGGGGGAAAGGAGAGTGGGAGGAAGTAGGGGGAGCAAAAAAGTCAAAACAAAAAGGATTTAACCAGCAATGTGATTAATTGTCCTAATTCAAAGGTTGTGAAACGGCTGAAGACAACTACTCTTCAAATCTGGTTTTCACCCGTCATGTTGTATATATCCTTACATTCTCCCTGTCTCGTTTGTATAGTTTTGTTGAATCCATTTGCCTAAATGTAAATGACCATTTGCACATACTTTTCATAAAACACAAATAATCGACTCTCGTGCACTATACATTGTATTAAAATCGATAAACCATACTCTTTGGTTCTTTCGGTAAAGTCACGTAGGCATAAAATAAAATAAATCACGACGTTTCGGGCGCAACACAAACGTCCGTCATCACGTGGGAAAGCTTTCCTACGTGACTTTACCAAAAGAGCCAAAGAGTATGGATTCCTGCAGTCACGAAAGCTTCAAATCAAGAACGATAAACCAGTACATTGCTACATGCATGGTACCAACGCTGTTACCGTTCGGTGAACTAGAAAAACGAATGCCACCATAGCGCCCTCTAGTGACGTCCAGTGTCACCACTAGCGTAATAAGGTTGAATACGACTGCATTGTGGGAAGCCGGCACGCCGGCTCCGTTGCCACGCGTGGTAGCATCGTGGGAGCGGACATCAGCAAACAGCAAAAAGAAAACCTCGCTGTGCGTTGCAGATCAAAATGACGCCACCATTCTCGCACGCATTCTGCACACTGTCTGGTGATAGGCACCGACAACTGCATACAGGTTGCAGGTTTCATCCTTGTTAAGGCTCATCAGTACAACATAGCCATCTACCAGTTTAACACGTAGGCTTTTGCAACCAATATCATCCATAAGAGATTTTTTTTGGTTAGATCGCATAAATATATAAATGTGTCGTTAAAACCCGTCACCACCCGATACAGCCAACTAGTAAGGGTTGTCACGTGAACAGAACGTGGCCAATTCGTCACTAATACAGCACACCGGTTTGTGTGTTGGAGTGCCAAGCCACATTTACAATCTGGGCACGACGTGTCACCAGTAATTACAACCTGCTTCATCAGGCGACAGCCATCTACCATTTATGCCTGGTGGTGATGCCTTTTTTTTGCATTTAAGTTATAATTATTATTTTTTTACGCAGTGTGCATAGTTATCTGCTTCTGTATTTAAATGCTTTATTTAGACTGGAGGAATCAAGTGAGCTAGGAAGCTCTTTTTCACAGATGTCCAGTTTTGAGTTTTGACTGGACATCTGTGAATGCAAAATTTAAATTGTGCCCTGGATGGAAAATTAATATGGGAATCATCGGTAGGGAGGGGGGGCAAGGGGGAACCCATGTGACACTCGAAGACCTGGGTGTGAGGATGGCATGCGATGGGTCGTTCTGAACGTCTCATTTCAAATGAGTTTTGCATGCGGAAGGAGCCCAGAGAACTCTTAGAGAACCCAAAACGCAAACGCTGGGGATATAATTTAGAGATTCGCGCGGACGGGTTCAAGAACCCACTTGCTGTACTGCCATCTCCCGGCCACCTGGAATCTCAGTGAGTTTGGGAGTTTCTCAAATCTCTACCCGATTCAGAAACCCCTGTGCCTTCAAAGTAATCTGTGACTAACCCAAACATGCTCTTGAAAATGACATCAAATAAACCTGTGGTAATGTTTTCAAGCACAATTAAGCACAGTCACAATATCATTGCGAATTATAATGCTACTGTAATTATAATTGACCGCAAGATCTGCATGAAAGCCCAGCAGGTTTGGCAGTTGCACAGTTCTCCATGTGATCCACCAAACCCTTTCCTCCAAAGTGCTCGATCACAGGCATGCCACCACACCCGGTTGTGCTGTGCTACGTTCTGAATGGGCTGGCAAGCGAATCAGACTCAGGCTCAGCACACACGACAGCCGCCATTCACCACCAAGTGTTGGTGGCATCTGCACGGCGCTTGTGCCAGGCTTAGGTGCGCTTTTGAGACCATCGCATTAAGTGCCGAAGGCTCGCTGGACCCCGGTGTTGTGGTTTAGCTGAGAGATGAATGGCAGATGCACCACAAGTGCTCTCCACTGTGCCAATGCACGCACGAACACACGAGGCCCACAGTGAGTGAATAAAGATTCCCTCCCTCTCACCTGGTGCAAAGAGCCCCATGCCCTGCGAGCTCCTCACCCTCGCCTCACGGATGATTTGTGCTTGCTGCTCTTTGTCTGCAACACACAAAGATCCGAATGAAGTGGGCACATTGAAATCGTGATGGTTTCGTGTCGAGTCGTGATGTGCGACTGTTACCAATCTTGATCGACGGGACATTGGCCTTCTCGTAGAAAAAAGTTGTGTCGATCATCTTCTCCTGAAAAAAAATACAAAATGGAAAATTTTAATGTTAAAATTCTTCATCCACCCGTGTTACGGACTCGGTCAACTAGACAAGACTCTTTTGTCTCATTCACACTGTGTTCTATCACCATACAAGACGAGACAATGAGCCCCTATGTAGCCTAAACAGACTTTTGGGCCAAGAACTATTAGTGTGCACCTATATGAAGGTCGGCACGGCACACGAGGGGGTGGGTGGCCAGCACCAGGCTTGGCCGCCTGTCTCCCCAGCAGCGATGTTTACACATCGCACCAGGAATTATATCACTTTCATGGTAAGGCAGTCCCCTCCAGAAAAACGCGATTATGCGATCGCAAGATTCCACGCAAAATCAGCCAAAGTCCGCATATTTATGCGGGGGGCGCGTTTTTTCAAATACGCTGCACTTTCGCCGCATAAATTGCAGATTTCCGCGCGCAAAATATGCATGATTTCATAATCCCCGCATTTTCGTTGCAAAAAGTCACATATATCTTAGCAGAAAGTTGAAAAATGTTGCGTTTACTTCACACAAGCGCAGCCATTTCCCCTGTTGCCATGGGAACGTTATGAAGTGACGTCACTCATTACGCGACATCATTGAAAAGCTGCAAACCCCGCGATGCCAATGAAACCATGATGAAGAGTTTATGCAACTTTACAGTTGTAAGATTGCACTTTTTTGTTAGTAGTATGTAAATTTACATTACTGTAAGACTGTACTGTTACTGTATTGCTTACGTTACTGTGCACCGAAAACACTTATTTTAACAGAAGATGTCTGTTTTGTATAGCTACCTCTGTAAAACAGGAAGCACACATTTTATTTTTTTTAATATTTTACGTATTCATTTTTACAGAAGTTGTAGCATATTCATTTTGTAAAGCTACAGAACTTGTTCGACTCAATGTTTTGTAAGTTTGAGCCATCTGTTTGTTAGGGTCTGAAATAAAACAAGATGAGAACTTAAATATTCGCAGCACTTTCTGTGATGTAGTATGCTTGCTTATCATAGGAAGTAATAAGAAATGACTCTTTACATTAAAGTAGTAGCCTAGTGAATAGGGTGTTGGGGGAATCACTTTTTTTCTCTTTTTCATCAAACCGCAGTTTTTGCAAGTTCCCGCAATTTAATCGCATAAAATTGCATAAATATCCCGCATATTCCATCGCATTTTTTAAGAAAACGTGCCGCATAATCAACGATTTTTGCCCGCAACAATCACCAAAAAACTCCGCGTTTTTCTGGAGGGACTGGTAAGGCCAATAACATGACGAGGTTTTTCTTAATTAGAACACCATCTTTTCAGCTCACTCACAACAGCCCCACCTAGTGGAAATGTCACGAGCCGCCCCCCGACGGCTCCACTACCGCTCCTCAACCACCATACACTACAGGTGACAAAAACACACACTCGGGCACTCGCCTGGTCGTCCTTGGAGTAGCCCTGCGCACTGAGTCGACATGTCTCGACGTGCCGCTCCAGTGAGGCGGCCGGCATGCGGTGCCCCGAGTTTATGGGACACACAACCTGCAGTCGAGAAAACACAATCCCATCTTTAGCCACGCGGATCACATTAACCAAGTTTCAAGTTCAAGTTCATTTATTAGGTATAGCCCTGTGAGCCATTCAGCTCTTGAATCGGGTGCAACCGCAACAAACAAAAAACATGAACAAAAAACATCTTAAAGTGAATATGTGACTAAGTGCAAACAGAAAATCCAAGAAAAGACAGCAAAAATATTGCAGAAAAAACACCGTACACCAACGCTGTGTGCAAAAATCCCAGTGGGATGCAAGTCAAACAACAACGTACACCCCAAACTTGTGCCCAGTGTCAATAACTTGAAACAAATCTTGGTCACACACACACACACAAAGCCACCTACAAAATAATACGATGCAGCCACAACTGTTGCTTTACGATACAGCGAGGAAACGTGCATCTCATGATCCGGATGAGACAGGACTGTATGGATGTTGAACGTCAATTCATTATCGTAGTCCACATAAGCACGCCGCTCAACGTCGCACAATAGCTGTGCTCGTTTTAAAGACACTCCAGAAGAAAGAGCCAATCAGAGGGGGCGTAGCAGCGCGCGTCGCCAATACGGACTACCAATTCGAAACAGCGGCGCAACGATCCTTAGGTTTCTACAGCGCAGAGGGGTACGGGTGGAGAAGTGAATTTAAAAGAAAGGGGGCACTTACCGGGCTCTCCTCGCTCGCCGCTCGCTCCAGGACCTCCATGCTCCACCCCAGGGAGGAGGCGACCTCCTCCAGGCGCCGTCGGCATTGCTGCGCGAAGTCCTCGAGTTCCCGCGCGCGCCGATCGCGCTCCTCCACCTCGGCGTCCGCCATTGATGCCGACAGCGAGTGGGGGGAGGGGCTGTGACGTAATAGGTTTGTTGTATCTTCTTCTTCCGGAAGAGGAAGATTCTAAAGAATATTCGGAAGTGTCTTCCAGAATCGGAAGACGTCTGTGTGTATTCTGGATAATTCTAGCAGACTCTTCGGTTTTTTCGGTAAAGTCACAAAAATAAATAATAAATATTGTAGAAATATTTTTTTTAATTTATAAAAATAATAGATTTTTTTTATTATTATTATTTTTTTATTATTATGTAATAATAGAAGTATATTATTTTTTATTATTATAAAAAAAATAATAGAACTACTGTATTATTCTTTTTTTACCTACGTGACTGCCGAAAAAAACCTAAGAGTATGAATCCTTGCAGTCACGAAAGCTTCAAATCTAGAATTCTACCGGATTTAAAGCTTTCGTAACTACAGGGATTCATATTCTTGGTTCTTTTGGTAAAAGTCACGTAGAAGGGAAATAATAAAATAATACTAATATAAAACAATACAATTTTATTATTTCATTTCTACGTGACTTTACCGAAAGTACCAATAATATAATTCTACCGGATTCAAAAGTTGTCTACCGGAATCAGAAGTGCAGCTCACGAGAAGGGTAATTCCATCTACTGTACCTGGATTCGGTAGACCTTCACCGGAATCAGAAGACGCCTACCGAGAAATAAAATGTACATCTACCGGATTCAGAATCAAATGTTTTTAAATTAGACTGTGGAAGGATATTGAGCCATGAAGCTACCGAAAAAGCCGGGGGGCAGGGGGCGGGGCTTCGGAGGGGGCGGGGCTTCGGAGGGGGCGGGGCTTGGGAGAACGGGGCGGGGCTTGGGAGGGGCGGGGCGGGGCTTGGGAGGGGCGGGGCGGGCGACACTCGACCCGGAAGTCAAGTTGCGCGCGGATCACGTGGGCCCAGTGTCAGCTGATGACGACGATGATGTTGTTATTGATCTGAGTGTTTTAATTTAATCGCCGTGATTTGTAATTCAGTTATGAGATAAAAGACACTCGGGCTGATGCGAGTGCAGGCGCTTGAAAGCTGTGACGATAATGGTAATGATGGAATTGACGGTGATTGTTGACTACGGATGCTGTGATAGCTTGATGATGGTGGTGGATTGATGGTGCTGATTTCATGGTGAATGTGCGACTCTAATAGTGGATGTAGGTGCAAATGATAATGCAGTGTGATGATGATGACGCTGGTGGTGGTGTGATTGTAAAGACGATGGTGTGACAGATGAGATGGTAATGCCATGATGGTGGTGATTAATCTGATGGTGCTGGTGCAGAGTTGTTTTTTGCTAGTGATGATTTTGGTGGTAATTGATTGAAAATACTGATGTCATTGATGGCGATGTGCTTGCGATGCAAAGATCATCATCGATGTATGCTGCTGACGTGATTATTGTCATGTTGCAATGACCCAGAATGCGCACGATTGCGTCAGATCTCGGAGGCCACGCAAAGCTTAAGTAAGCCTGGATATTGCTTGGATCAACATAACCTGGTGCCTCGAGTTTCCTGGCTGGCTGCTGGCTGGGCTCCTCCCCTGCACCCCGACGATAACTTAGCTGTTAGTGGCTGCTGGTCACCGAAACTGGGTAACTGGCTAAACGGGATTTTCCGTCTGAATGCATAAACGGCGGAAGAAATTTGGAAAGGCACAGTCGTGACCCCGAAGAGGTGTGGGAGTAACAGGTGAAAGACTGACACGGTTCATTTAAAATTGCTCTGACCTGACAATTATTACTCCTTCTTGGTTCTTTCGGTAAAGTCACGTAGAAGGGAAATAATAAAATAAAACATAAAATACTATTCTCACGTTTCGGTCACAACGGCTGCTTGCGTTGTGGCCGAAACGTCGTGAGAATTGTATTTTATTGTTTAATTTTTATTATTTTATTATTTCCCTTCTACGTGACTTTACCGAAAGAACCAAGAAGATGAATCCCTGCAGTCACGAAAGCTTTAAATCGAAAATTATTACTCCAGTGTAATGTTTTCGCCGAAATCCTCGAGAATAGTATTACGTAAAAAAATTTTTTACCAGATTACTTTTGTGCTTCGAGCACTGAATTGTGAGAAGAGTATACAAACTGACGGCCGTCTCTTGTCATTGCAGAGAAACGGCTTCTCGGCTAGTTTCAAATGTTTTCACAAGGAATAATCCGCTTGCAACGGTGGCCAGTGTATAGGAAATGCCACGGCAGTTAAGCAAATTCTAATGTTATACTGCACTGCTGTCTCCCTCCGCGTTGGCCAACTCGCGATGGCCAACGTGGAGACGTATCATCAGAGACCGGCACGACGTTTGGAGGCCATCATCATCATCATCCAGGAGTGTACGAACTCAGAAGGGCCGCCTGTCTATATACATTGTAAAATGATGCGTAAACTCTTTACCCGTGGGACACATCACAGGAACGGGAGTAAGAGTCAAGCATTTAATGCGTGGGAAAAAAATATAAAGGAATAGGGAGAGGGAACGGATGCCGGGACAGATCAAGTTCAAGTTCAATTATTAGGTATAGCCCTGTGAGCCATTCGGCTCTTGAATCGGGTGCAACCGCAACAAACAAAAACATGAACAAAAAACATCTTAAAGTGAATATGTGACTAAGTGCAAACAGAAAATTTAGACAGCTAAATATTGCAGAAAAAACACCGTACACCAAGGCTGTGTGCAAAAATCCCAGTGGGATGCAAGTCAAACAACATGTCCCAAAGATGGGCAAAGAAGAGGGCACGGCTCAAGATGAGCAGCAGGAAGAGAGGAGGAGGAGCACCCGTGCAGGAAGGAATGGCCGGACCAAGATGTTGGGAATGAGAGGGTGATGATGATGATGGGAGAAGGGGAAGAGAGGGAAGGAAGGAACGAGCAGGAGTGAGCTGCGTGGAGGAGCAACGTCTGTTTCCACAGGGGGCGGGGAGAGGGGGGGGATTCGGAGTGGGGGTGGCCACTTAGAAGTCACGTGATTTGCCGGAAGCCTGAAATTATTTTGATATATAAATGTGCGTTGATGTTGGTGCTGGGTGACCATGTTGATGGATTTTGTTCATTCCGATTTTGTCCCCGCGGGTTTACCCGATTTCAACTTCTCTTTCCACGGACACGAAGACGATGGCCACGCGAACCGGGATGGAAAAAATCGTGAAGGGTGAGCTCGTGTTGTGTTTCAGTGATAATGGTGACTGGTCTAAGGTGCAGTTGTTGATGGTGGTGATGTTCATTGTCATGGGAAATATTGCTGATAACGAAGATGGTAGTGGCATGATGATAATCTTACTGGTTTTGATAACATAAATTGATGGAAGTGTTTTCAAGGAAATAATGGATGATTATGATAATTGTACTGCTGGTGATGCTAATGATGATGATTGTGCCGATGATGCCATTTGTGCTTTTGCTGATCATCGTGATGCTGCTGATAATAACGGTTCTGATGATGATCGTGTTGCAGATGCTGGAGAGATCAGCACCCGCCTCTTGGACCACAAAGCGTTCACGCATGGCCAGGCTCGCTTCATGCTTCGTGAGTTCGAGGTGAGCATCGCGATCATCGATCCGATGTTGAGGATGTACATCCGATGACCGGTAGCAGCGTTATCAAGATCGGCCTCTGTGGAGGTTCATGAAGGACGCTACTGGATAGTGCCAAGCCACTTTGGAGCTACTGGGCAGTTGGAGGCAGTCGCCCTGCAACAGCAATTACAAGCGGAGCGCCGGGCGGATAAAACGCAGAAAGTTGGCACAGTGGTGGGAGCACAGGTGGTGCATCGACCAGTCATCTCAGTCAGTCGACCCATGGCACCTGGGTCTGCCCCGTGACCTGCTGCCGGCGGGCGTTCAACACTTCACGTGGCCTTAACGTGCACATAGCCTGGCACAAGCACCATGGGGATGTCACCGCCACTTGGTGGCGCATGGCGGTTGTTGTACTGTATATAAGGCGGTCAGGCGTGGTTCTGGCCACCTACTCCCTCATACCGAGCCAGTCTTGATAAGTGCTCGCTAACAGCACTTGCTCCTACAGTCTGTTCAGGCTATACCCGGGATGTTTGTCTTTGTCGCATTGGTTAGCGCTCTGCACTGCAAACCCGTCGATCCCGAGTTTGATTTCCATATTTCTGAACTACTCAAACCAGTCCTGAAGCTCCCCTAGGTGGGTTTAACCTGCGTGTGCCTGGCGTGCGAGAGAGCAGGAGCGGCGCGGGTACCGCGAGATGCGCCGCCTGCAGGAGGCCGGGGAAACGATGACGCGCATGGCCGACTCGCTGCTGCCCGACGCCCTGGCCCTCGCCCAGGAGCTCCCCACCATGCTCGCTCGCCGTGAGTTCCGCACAGAGACCACCACGATTGCATACAGACATGGGGCACACGCGCAGACGCAGGCACACGTAACCACGGGGAAACCCCGTATGACAATTCGGACGATCTTCCTTTGGCAAAGTCCTCGATAGCAAAACGTCCTGATAGTCAAGCTACATTCACATTTGATAGTGCTGTGCGATAAACACCCACTGAACCACCGGAGAGCATTAACAAACTTTTGGGGCAAGTGCTGTTAGCGAGTTTCACCTGTGAAGGCCGGCACGGCACGTGAGGGGGTGGGTGGCCAGCACCACGCCCAGCTGCCTTGATCTCCCCAATGCTGATGTTTACATGCCGCAACAGGTACTCATTTGAGGCAGAGTCGACCTGGAGGGGAGGCCCAGGACCGGTTCAGATAATTGTCACTGGTATTGTCCGTAAGCGGGAATCGAATCGGGTTCGTAGCGCATTGCGCTCACCACTGTGCCACTGCTCCCCACACCACCGCCCCCCCCCCCCCCCCACTGCCCCCGCAGGCACATTTAGTTGAACATTAAACCCGGCCACACAAGTTCTATTCCCAACCATGGCTAACGTCAGTCCCTCGTGATACCTGAACTTATTCTGGAACCTGCACCCCACCCCCCCACCACCCCCGTTCTCTCACTGCCGCCCAATTCACCAACCTGCACGGACCCGCGTGATGGATGAACTACGGTCAAGCAACCCTCATGTCCAACACGGCGCCGGTGGCCTTCGCCCAGCAGTAGTTTGACAAAGAGGCTGTAAATGATGATGATGGAGCGTCGTCACGAGATGTGATGCGCATCGATCGTCTCTGCTGTGATGAGTCCCATCGTGACTTGTCTTCTGTCTGTTCCACAGTGGAGGCTGCAAACCGCATGTGCAACCGCATCCTGCAGCACCAGGACGAGCCTCGTGAGGTGAGGAATGCCCAGCCCAAATAATCGGCATCATCACCATCGCTCCAGACCAAACAGTCATCACCATTATTCCAGCCCACACAATCATCAGCGTCGCTCCAGCCCACACAATTATCACCATCACTCCAGCCCATAAAATAATCAGCATCAGTATCGCTCCAGTCCATACACTGTCCCCTACAGACAGAACATTTGGAATTCACATTTTTAATTTACTGCCTACTGGCGAGCCAGGGTATAGCACCTCCTCGACAGGCACGTGAAGGTCATTTCACAATATCTGTATGTGCGGTGATCCACCAACCCTCCTCACTGCTGCCTCTACAGTGCCGGACTAAGGCAGCCATATGCAGCAGCGTAGCTACGACCATCACCACCCGGCTAAACTCCCATTTGATTTCGGCATTGTTTATATCTACGAGGTAAGGCCCACTGAGCTAAATATATCTTTGTCAGAAGCGACCTGGCCACAAATGATATCTCAATGAAGCCGCTTATCGTCACGGGGAAATGTATTGCAGCCAAATCCTACTGCCACTAACGCAACAAGTTGTCGAGAGTCGGCGGGAGGTGGCCCGATGGTTTGACAGAAGGGCCGTTCATCCGGCAGTGGTTAGATCACGTCATTCCCCCCCTGGTCTCTCTGCGGGGCAGCATGAGGTGCTGGGGAAGGGGCGAGAGCGGCGTCGCGCCGAGCTGGACGCGAGCGTGCGGCGGATGCGCGAGCACTGCGCCGGCACGGACGCCCGGCACGACCGGGAGATGGCGGAGACGCGGGCACGCTACGAGCGCCTCGCCGTCGAGCTGCAGGAGGGTTACGCCCGCACGACGGCGCCGTGACCCCTGCCGCCCGCACCACGGCGCCGTGACCCCTGCCGCCCACACGACCGTCACCACGACCTTCGCCGCCAGAATTGGAATCTTTTTTTTTGACTGGAGGAATCCGACAAGCTTACGAAGCTCTTTTTTCACAGACAACCAGTAAATGTCCACCGTCGCCACGTGCAGCCCGTGTCTAATGGCGCGGCGGCTCCCATGCTCGTGGCTGTTATCGTGGCCTTCAAGTGGGTTGCGGCAACAGCCACACGTGCGGCGACAAAGATCCCCCCATATAGCCTTAGCTGAGTGTTGGGGCAAGAGCTGTTCGCAAGCACTGAAGGTCCATGCAGAATCGGCTTTATTTCTCCACTGTTGAATCCTTTGTTAAACTGAGCAATACAGGAACCAATATTGTTGGAAATGATTCCAGCACCGCTGAAATCCTGGGTTCGAATCCCGGCAGCTTTCGGTGGTTGAAACGGGTCCTCAAGTGTAGTAGTGAGTTGATGGGTCTCGGCCCTGTCACCTATGATGGCACAAAAAACCACCACATTCATTCTTAATTTGGATAAATTCAAACTCTGATTATGTTAAGATATTGCTTTGTCACACCACTCTCATATGCAAAGAGATTTGTAAAGTGCTGCCCTCTACCGCGTGTGTGTGTGGTTGTCAGGTTTTTCGAGGACACGACTAAACCCATCGATTCGTCGCGTGGGGTGATTGGATTGGTCGTCACATGCCTCATGTACATGTATACTCTAGGTGTTGTATCGCTCTTTCATGATACGTGATCCATTACTAGGATCGCCGGTACCAGCCAGCACTACTATGCATCTGCTATGAAGGGCTTGGGGAATAGGGTAATGCCCCAGTTCAAAGACACTGAGCTGTCGTCCATGAGGCCCAAAACCAAATATTCCACTTGTAGGTGCCACGAGATGTGGCATAACTTGAGCGGTTTCAATTTATTTACTTGGCCAATGATGGTGAATTATGTGATAACCATTTGAAACGAGTCGGTTATCAAATCGTTCACTCTTATCGGCTACTCATTTATTTTGCTACTGTGGGTGATGCCAATGTCTGCTCTGGCCTGTCGACCACTGGGACCGCCTGTGGTTAAACTAGGTTCTCGTTTTCAGAGAATTGATGGTCGTGGTCCGATCACCAGTGACAACACAATATGCGTGCTTTGTGTGTTTCATTGAGCCTAGCCCAGATACAAAATTAGCAGTATGTTTTTGCGTTAGTGTTGTCGATCTCTCTGTGTATGCGGATTGTCCCGCGTGTTGTTCCGAAAATAATATTCAGGAACTGAAGTCCAGTTCCCTGAAGCTCCCAACACGTGGGGCGATATGCCGGGCATCGTGCCGAGAAACACGCGGTGCAACCCAAACAGCATTTGAGAGCTAAACTTCCCATTGGCGTGCCGACAGTAGCTTGACATTATCGTGCCGTTCGTGCAAATTGCATCTCAAAATGCCATAGCATTTGTAACACGCGCAGATTTTTGCAGGGAGGCTCGGGAAACTACAAACGAGCGGAACGGCAGCCACAACCGGCACCAACAATTGCCCAAGCTCTGTCGTCCTCTTCTTGGTTCTTTCGGTAAAGTCACGTAGAAGGGAAATAATAAAAATAAAACATAATAAAATAATTCTCACGACGTTTCGGCCACAACGCAAGCAGCCGTCCTCAGGTGAAGAACAGGTCTGTCGGAAAGACAGCGTCTGAAAGACAGACCTGTTCTTCACCTGAGGACGGCTGCTTGCGTTGTGGCCGAAACGTCGTGAGAATTATTTTATTATGTTTTATTTTTATTATTTCCCTTCTACGTGACTTTACCGAAAGAACCAAGAAGATGAATCCCTACAGTCACAAAAGCTTTAAATCGAAATTTACTCTGTTGTCCTATATTGAAATGTTTGGCCAACTTCTTACGGCCTCGGAGCAATTGGCCACACATTGCTTTTGGAAGCAAGTTTCCCAGTTGCATTCAGATGTTCAGACACTTGCCCAGAAGTTATTTATGTTGTATGTTATAAACAGCTACGGTTGATCTAACTTTCAATACAAGTCTCGTGGTTGAATTTGTATGCTCAAAAACTCGTGTGCTTAAAATTTGTGGTTTAAAAATAATTCCTAATTCACATTACGTAGAGAAGTGGAATTACAAAATGTCACGCTTAGGTTTAAGTGTTTTTGGAGAAATGGACATGAATTGCACATGTGCCTGTTTTCCATTGCCCTTGTCACATTTTTATTCAACAAATACATGCGTTTTCAGCCACTTGTAAAGCCTCTGCTGGTTGAAGGCATCCCCACACGGCATCTGCAATGGAGGTAGTTTAACCAGTCAAGCATGCTGGCTAGTGTGGGGGGGGGGGGGTGAAAAGTGAGGAATGGGACCAGTTCAGATATGCAAATTTAAATATTTTGTTTTTGATATCGGGATGAAGGCCCATTGAGCCGGCAAACTCAAGTGCTACCCCCGAGGGATGGACGGGAGTGAAGGGGAACCTGAATGGCACAACGTTTCAATTACTTCCCACTCATGAGATCCCTGGCCAGGAATCGAACTCAGGCGTGTGGGGGTTTATAGTGCGGTGTGCTTCAACACCGACTAGACCACCAAACTTGCTTTATAACACGGATACACTCATCAGATCAACTGTTTTTATTTGGAAGTGCGGACTCACGGCAACCTATGTGAGCATACACAAACAGACATCTGTAAAATATTGTGCATTTGCAAAGTGGATCAATGTGATCGCATCTCAAGTCACCGTACAAATGGTTGCTTGGGAGTTGGCAGATAATACGTATTTCCATCAAGATTAGCACGGTTGGCTATGTACGGTGCAAAAGAAGTTCTACATTATATCGAAGGTGGTTTTTAAAGTTTTTTTTTTTACAGTGAATGCAAGAATGTATGTTTCGGCTTCAATATGCTGTCGTTTAATTTTCTTTTACCAGTAAAGCCTGGCCGAGTTTCCACTTTTAGGAGGGTCCAGCTATTTTAATTTCAAGGAGTGTGTTTGGCTTCAGGGTCCAGTTGTGTCATGGTCAGCACACTGGACTTGCAATCCAGGACCACCGGTTCAATTTAATTTCCTGGCACAGCAGTTTAAAACCATGGGGAAAGTTGATTAAATCCGCCCCACTGCATTCGGTCCACCCAGGAAAATAAATACGTTCACCACAGTCGATCGGCAGGCTGGGTGTGGTGGTGTGAAGTGTGTTTAGTCCAAACTCTTCTGAGACATCTGTCCAGTGTGTAAGAGTATGCCAAGATACCCCTACTAGAGTAGAGGTTGTTTTCTGAAGCTGATTATAGTGAAGGCTCCTTCTGCCAACGATGGCGTGAGCAAGCAGTTGCAGGGCCTGCACCTTTACATTTACGCTACAATATGAGATCTTTACCAGTGGCAAAATATAGTAATAGGTTTTTACCCTTTCAACTGGTACAAAGGTGTCAGTTTTTGTACCAGTTGAAAGGGTAAAAACCTATTACTATATTTACGCTACAAGTTCAAGGAGCAGGAGAAACCCCATCATGCACGAGGTTGAGGTTTACGTAAGATTCCACTCGAGGTTTACAAACCCACTTGGGGATGTCGTCTCGTGTCGTGGTGGCGTTAGCCCCGCGGGTTTGGAACTTGCACAGATCAAGGGTGGCACAGTCGGGTTTTTTACAATCGGGTTTAATTGTCTTTTTATATTAAACCCGATCATCTGAGATTGGGAGAAATCCGGTTTAATTGGTTCTAATTGCAGAACCGCACTTCGCCAACTTCTCAACGATGGGCTTCATCCATTCCAAGCTAAGGAACTCAACGGTGCCCACGATTGTGGAGAAGCTCGTGTTCATCAAGACCAACCTGCCGCATTCTACGGCTACCCCGTGCCTGATGGCCCAGAGTACGATAGCAGCACCGACGAGGAAGCAGCCTACGCCTATCAGAGTTTCGTATTCATTAAACCAGGTTTTAATTCCCTGAAATCGGGTTTAATTGTATTAATCGGGTTTTTTCCACCCCATGCCACAGATAACCGACGTGATCCATCGACCCTTGCTTTCAGAGCCCTGCATCACAAGGGTGCAGTCACATCGCTGTCGACCCCTTATCGGTAACTACCTTATTACAGACCAATTCAGACCTGATTGGGCGCCCCGTGCCCGTATCGATCTCAACGTTCATCCTACAAAGTCCCATCACGAGAGAGACCCAAATAAAGACAAAATATTTGTGCCCGTATTGAAACGGCTGCAAGCCGTATGGACCTTAAAACTCAATTTCCCTGTAAAATAATACGGGTAAAAACCTTATGGGTTGACATGTATGCAATCACCACCGCCCGTGTATTAATTTGCTAGCGGATTAAAGTTGCAGGTTAATGTACATTTCAGTTTCAACTTTGCAATGTTTTAAACAAAAAAAATGTTATATCTGCCGCTTTACTGTAAGCGCATTTGAAGAATAACTTTAAACTTGTAACGAACGAACGAGGAACCACGTCCATGCGGGACAGGCCGCAACCACGTGGTGATCGGGCCGGAAAACGTTTCCCTCCAAACCTTTGCGGTAAGTTCACCAATATCAAGGTGTTTGTGTTTAATTCGTGAGTTTATATTCAGGGAGACAAACCCAGGCGTGTGAAGGAGGCACATTGTTTTCCCATGCAGATTGGGAGGGAGTTGGGGGGTGCAATCTCGCACATCTCTCCCGTGATCCACAAACCCTTGCTTCCATACGGTGGTCAAAATCCCAGGCGCGTGCCAATTAAAGCCAATTAGGATCGTTGACTCTTCTGTATTAAAGCTCTATCGCTGTTGCGCACCGGAAGCATTACGATGGCACGTGTCGCCGATTCACACGACTGATTATTTATTAGCAACGAGAACCGCTCGCGGAATTGCGCGTCGTATAATTTTAAGAGCGATTCGCAAGCGATGTGGATTTATTACTATTCGTTTTGCCACATTTGACGGTGTTTTATATTTTACTAGGTTAGCGATCGCATTGTACGCGGCGTGGTCTTTGAAAAGTGGTAATAAACGATGCCTCCCGGAAACAGGTTTCAAATGAACGTTGCTTATTCCAGATCGACATTTTTAATATATAGGGCGCTTAAAAAAATATCAAACACTTACATGGGACTATTTTTAATGTAAAAAGTACGGATAATACGATGCTAACAAAACAAACGTATGTTAATAGCTTCAAAAAGGCAAGTCTCGACTTGTTCGCCATCATTGTCAACACACGCCTGGAATCTTCTCCGAAGCCCGGAGGCACATCGTGGTATTGTTGCAAATTCTCATAAGTCTTAACATTAATTTTAAAGCACCCTGTATATATTAAAAAACAACAACTTGTAAATCCACCGCAGCACACACGGTCTTCCAACATTTAGCGGTGCTATTTATCGATTAGTCTTACGGACTTGCCACTTTCATCTTGTGTGATAGCGAACGTCGGCCAAGAGGGGGGCCCAAAACGCGTGGCCACGGCGAGTGGGGGGGGGCCCTCCAAATGCGGCCTCGTACAGACACCGAACCTGTAACCCCACGGAAAACGCGACGGTCCAAATCAAACTATGTATACCAAAACAATTCCGACGAGATGCCAAGCTCTTCTTGGTTCTTTCGGTAAAGTCACGTAGAAGGGAAGTAATAAAATAATAAAAATTAAACATAATAAAAATAAAATAATAATAAAATGTTTATTTTTATTATTTCATTACTTCCCTTCTACGTGACTTTACCGAAAGAACCAAGAAGATGAATCCCTGCAGTCACGAAAGCTTTAAATCGAAGAAAAAAAATGCTAAGCTCTTTATAAAAAAAAAATTACCGTTGAAAATAACAAAAAATGTAAGAGGCGGCCAGAGGTGCAATCCCCACCAATCTAGGGGGAAGCCCATCGTAGACCCGAACCCTCTCGTTACTCTCGCATCGTGGGGGCCCCCCCCCCAGGGCTCACGTGGCGGCGGAGACGAACTCCTCCCGGCGGCGAGGGCACGAAGGCCGGGCACGCCGGGGCCAGGCGAGGCCGTGGGATGAGGTTTGGGGGGGGGAACTCGCACCCGATTGCGGAGGCCTTACTCCCCGAATGGTGGGAGCCGAGGTTTGTCAAGTTTTAAAACCAACGTCCGTGGAACGCCTCTCTCGTTTTTGCTGGACCTCGGCCAAAACTCAGCAAATATTGAGAAGAGGCCAAATGAAACAATTAGGGTTAGAACGAGCAAAAAGCTCGGAGGCCAACGGGGAGTGGCGGTGTTGGGGCCTGACACGGCGCCTTATATAGGCGGGAGGGGAGGGGGCGTACCCTGGAAGGTGAATACACCACGCACACCACGCCCCCGAACGTGAATGTACTACGCTACATAAAGACGCTATGCGCCCCGGAACGTGAATGTACTACGCTACATAAAGACGATATGCGCCCCAGAACGTGAATGTACTACGCTACATAAAGACGATATGCGCCCCGGAACCTGAATGTACTACGCCACGTTGTAGCTGGAAGCGCCCCAAAACGTGGATGCACCGCGCCCTATAATAAAGGGGAATCTAGATTTGAAGTTTTTATGACTGCAGGGATCCATACTCTTTGGTTCTTTCGATCAAGTCACGTAGGTATAATTAAATTATATTGTTTTATTTTATACCGACGTGACTTTACCGAAAGAACCAGAGTAATAAATGAGAAATGCGCCCCGGAACGTGAATGTATTACGCCATAGAAAAAAATACGATGTACGCCCCGGAACGTGAATGTACTACGCCACGTATGAGCTGTAAGCGCCCCGGAACGTGAATGTACTACGCCACGTATGAGCTGTAAGCGCCCCAGAACGTGAATGTACTACGCCCTGTCGGCGAGACGCGCGCCCTGGAACGTGGATAAAAGTACCCATGCCTCATTAATCACTTTTTGGCACGTGGCTTCTTGTTCATTTTATTTTACAGTGCAGCACATTTTCCGAAGCCTTTGATACAGTCGACCACAACACACTGCTTAGTAAACTATGTTGCCTCCGTTTCTCCAAACACGCAGTGGAATGGTTTAAAAAATGACCTCTCTTCTCGCACCCAAACTGTATTCATAGATGGCTGGAGGTCAAACAGTGTTAAGATAACAAAAGGGGTTCCACAGGGTTCCATCCTCGCCCCCTCTTGTTCTCTCTTCATGTCAATGACTTGGGAACTGACCTGGGTCATTCCAGGGTAAATCTATTTGCAGATGACACCATACTGATTACTGCTGGCCGCTCTCCGGATGACGTGATCGCTACGTTCCCGGGTGATTTCAACAAACTACAGTATCAGCTAGTTGCTCTTAAACTAGTCCTGGAATACCTCCAAAACCGAGGTGCAATGCTTCTCACCAGGACTAAAGCAGGAGGTAATTTTTCCCCAATTACATTCCTTAAATAAGTATCAAATAGAGCAAGTCAATATATATATAAGTATATGGGGTCATCTTTGATTCAAAACTTAATTTTCAAGATCACATTGATTATATTGGTAAAAAGACAAAATAAAAAATTGGTGTTCTGTATCGACACAAGCATGTTCCGTTTGGAATTGATAAAAGCTACCATACTTCCTCTAGTTGATTACTGTGACATATATAAATCAGCCCCCAGTACTGTACTGAAGAAGCTTAACTAAATGTATCACTCGGCCTTAAGATTTGCATTGAACTGCCCATATAGGAACTACCCCTGCGATCTCTACATTGGGTCATCGACAACAGGCCTGATGCAGCGCGTCTCCTTCATACATCGAAAATATGGTGCCATTGTGGCCAGGAAACACGAGCTATGTTCAAGTTCATTTATTAGGTATAGCCCTGTGAGCCATTCGGCTCTTGAATCGGGTGCAACCGCAACAAGCAAAAAACAAAAACATAACAAAAAACATATTAAAAACAAACAAAAACATCTTAACCATATAATGTACCATATTGCAAACCCAGAGAGACACAAACAGATGCACGAATACACATAGAGACCCATCGAGAGACCCGTAGAGATCGATAAAAGACGAACCACACGAATACGATTGTGTCCATGCCACCCAAACTATGAACCGTATAGCAGAGGTCGCAACCGGGTACCCGATACCCGTACCCTACCCGGCTACCCGTACCCGGCCGGGTACGGGTATCCGTTTGCGACCCTGGTGCGGCCGGGTACGGGTACGGGTAGACCGTGAGTCACCAGTGAGTAACCGTTTGTCACTCATTTCGGATAGGGTACGGGTATGGGTAGGGAACGGGTACCCGTACCCGGCCGGGTACGGGTACCCATTTGCGACCCTGGTGCGGCCGGGCACGGGTAAGGAATCAAAACCCGTTTGCGACCTCTGCCGTGTAGATAGCGAAACTACGACGCAGGCTCACTGCTGACATCCTCTCGTCGTGACCAGCAGCAGACATTGGCATGGAGCTCCTATACTTATTGCTTCCATCACAAGCATGAATAACAACAGTGAACACCCAGGCATTGCATTGAACTTTCTTCCAGGTCCGCACGTGGTTCCTTATAACAAGGTGTAATACAGGGCACCTACATTTATTAGGGTATTGGGATGACAGAGAGGTTGGGTCCCACTGCGCTAGAGTTTAGAGCGAATGCAAAGTATCTTGTGTTTGCACCTCCGGTTAGCACGGTTAGCTACGTACGGTGCGAAAGAAGTTCAACATACAACTTAAGAAACAAGGATGAGTCTCATTTACAAGAGTGACCCGGGCCACCAACATTACAAAAGAAAAAAAACCTGAAAAACAAGTACAAGAAAACAATGCAAACAAAAATCTGTAAATCACCGGTCGAAAACAAACGCGTTCCAGCAGAAATTGTAAAGACTGTAATGTACAAACACAGTAAACTTATGGCGGGACCCCGGGGTCCCGAATAAACGTAAGTCAAAATCGTAATCAATGAAATTTTTATTTAAAGTTTTCGTGACTGCAGGGATTCATATTCTTGGTTCTTCAGCTAAAGTCATGTAGAAGGGAAATAATGAAATAATATAAGTAAAAGTATACGCGCTATTTTATTATTTATATTATTACAAAACAAAATAAATATATTTATATCATTTTATTATTTCCCTTCTACGTCACTTTACCGAAAGAACCAATAATACGTAATCAATTAATTTATGGCGAATCCGTCCCACTGCGCACATCAACGCGCGGATCATTCTTCTGCTGTCATGTCGTGTCCAAGCGCAGCAGCAGCGAAGACGAATGCGCCGAAGAGCTGAACAAGCGAATGCACTCCATGCTCGGGTATGGGCAGGATCATAAGTCTTTTCCAAAGCTGCCCAAACTGCCCATACGACTTAAATCCTTTATTTGTCATCACGGAATGCATAATACAGTGAAACTGCTCTCTTATCTTCATTATTATTTGTGACCAACCAATGTCAGCAGCCAGGATCAATCGATGACAATCCTATTACCTGCAGATATTTAACAGCGTTGCACCGTTAATTCCTCCTGTTTGATAATACTTCTCTTGTCCTATGCATCTGTGCAGATTATTATTATTTTTTGCGGTTAAGCCATAGTCCCCACATTAAAAGAGCAAAGTTTTTGTTTATATATTAAAAAAAATGTTTACGCGAGAGCTGGGGGCTTATGGGACCCCGGGGTCCCCCCATAAGGTTCATATATGTTTTATTCAATTGAATACATTTCCAGTTACATATATTATGTTAAGAGTATGTGCTTAAAAAACGACATCTTCCAGATTTTTTTCGATTTAAAGCTTTCGTGACTGCAGGGATTCATCTTCTTGGTTCTTTCGGTAAAGTCACATAGACCAGACCTGGTTTTCACCTGAGGACGGTTGCTTGCGTTGTGGCCGAAACGTGAGAATTATTTTATTATGTTTTATTTTTATTATTTTATTACTTCCCTTCTACGTGACTTTACCGAAATAACCAAGAAGATCTTCCAGATTATTAGACGCACTTTTCACCCCCTGTGTTTTGAATAAAAAGTTTTGTGGTGTATCTTACCTTACGGGATAAACACACGCTTCGGTGACGCTGCTGCTGCTGCGTTGGCTGTGATGCACAAGCACAATTGACGATACAACTCAGAAAATTCGCGTCAATATGACTGTGTGTGGCCTGAAAGAAAACTCACACGCACTCACATGTCCACTTTACACACACACACACAACTCAACATATTCGTCATTAACACTGTAGCCTTAAAAGACAAAAACGTATATAACAGGCGACGTTTCGATCAATGGCCCTTCTTCATAGCACATGCCTAATGTGTTAAAGTTTCTGGCGAATTTGTTAAAGTTGTTCTGTTTGTCACTTTCAGAACGCGTTTAATAAACCCGTGGGCACGGTAAAGTGCAATACGTGTAAAGACACGAAATGAAGATCATCTTTGGCTTGTGTAAATATGTAGGGATCTCCATGACCGCTTTAATTAAACACAAACGATTGCCTAATCTCTTGGGCAAATGCAAAGAGGGGAGTGAATCATTAAAATTAATAAATAACAGCGTGTGGCACGCAACAAGACGCGCATATAAATTAACATAATTTCGCACGTTCCGCGCACATCGATTGGCTTAGGCGGGGCCCACGTGCTCATGAATTATTAATCGCATTCATGCAAAATTCATGAGCCCCAGCGTGGAGCTCCACCGTGGAGCTCATGAATAATGAATTAGAAGCGGGGGCTTTGCCATCCGGGCCAGCCATGCCTCGCTGTGGCGCTTGACCATTATTAACACAAGCGGCGAAGAGCGAGAAGGAACGAGACGGAGAGGGGCCCCCCGACCCGCGGAAACAGCGAAGCTAGAACCAGTACGGAATAAGCTGAAGACGACGTTGATTTTGGGTTTTTTATTTTATATATTTTTTATTTCCTCCTTGTTGTTGGGCAGAGTGCGCTGGCTGCCTGCGCGACCATGTTCCGGCCTATGGAAATCGGTGAGGACGTTTAAAGGGACGGCTCGGGCAAGTGGTAGAGTCACTCGTAGAAGTAGACCCCCCCCCCCACCCAATGCTCCCCACGTTTTGACGTCTCCCAATTCACCTTTGTCGTTGGGCTTTGGTTGATCTACTGCTGGATAGAAATCAACCAAAGTCATAATTTAATTAAAGCCAAATTCCAGCAGCGCGTGCCATCTACACGTATTTGTATGTCAACCAAACCAAACCGCTCTTGTTAGATATACCGTTAAAGCCATTGGCTTTGAATTAAGGTAATTATTGATTGGCACGACCCATTCATTCATCATCATTATTATCGGCCATTGCCACACCACTGCTGGATGAAAGCATCTCCCCCCCCCCATCTCTCACGTAAACTGCGACGTTTCGAGCAATTCGCCTAGGCAATAGCACGGGATACAACACGAGCTTATTTGGGCTCATCATCTCCCACGGTAGACGCTCTCTCGGAGTCCCGACTGTGGAGAGTTGTTGGCTCTTGATATTTTTCACCTTCCAATGTCCTGGTTTTTTGCGCTTAATTTTCGGATCGTTGTGTTCCTGGGTGTTTTGTATTCGCTGTGGTCGTCGCGTACGAAAATTGCTGCTTTTTGTCGACCCACTGCTAGATGAAGGCCCTCCCAGTGTGGGTTTTTAGGGGCCGAGGGTTATTTGAACATACTTCACCACGCTGGTCCATGGGGGTTTGTGATAGCGAAGACTAACACTACCCGATAAGAAAAATAACCACGCAACTGGCTAACATTAAGCATGTCCCTTCCTAAAAGGGAGTGTTTTAGTCTCAAATTTGAGACTGTAGATCCGCTTTGAATGTCTCATACCAACCCGTGAGGTTTGCCAAATATCTTGAGCAGGAACCGCTTGGAAACGAGTCTTGAGACTTCACAAATTATTCGTTTCGTAGGATACTCACCTTGAATATTTAGAATAACCGCGCTGTTTATGTCACGGTGGCAGTGTTTTATTAAGCACCCAGTGGTTAGAGTACAGGTGCTTTCATTGTTAAATATTCCCACGATGTTCAGAAGCCATAGGTTTACTGGCGGATAACAGACATTAAACCGGTGCCCTATGTTACAAGTGTGTGTATGTCACCGCCCTATGTAAGTTTATATCCACGGCATGGAGGCTTGGCACTGTACATAAAAAGCACACTTGTGTACGTTACAGTACGCAATGCGATATCGTCCAGTGTAATGGAATTACCGTACTCGATTTAAATTGTTAAATCGCCCCCCAATAAGTGTTGCGTAGAAGTCATCGGGGTTGCATGATGTGTTTATCACAGGTGGTCTGGATGGAATGAATGAAAATACCACAAACATTGTTCCATCCAGTTGCACCAATACTAACGCCATTTTAAAAGTTCCTGGATGTAGGTGGGCTTCAGTGTATTGGGTTTTTTCGTGGTTGCCTATTTGGTTAATTTGTTTTTCAGGTTTCTCAGTTTAAGGCAATGCAGTCATTCTCAAAACTCACCAGTGGATGAGAGCTCCCCCCTCCTCCCACGAAACGTGGGTTATGGCGTTTTGTTTACGATACGTCACGCTGGCCAATTCAGGTTGATGGTGCAAGGAATGAGGATTCGGAAGGGCAAGGGGCCGGTGTTGATGATATAATCGGCCACTGATGTTAGCCGTGAGTCTGTGACGGGCGAATTACGTGCCGCGTAGGACAACGTATTGTTGAGGCGAGGAATTGTGAATAAGAAATTCGCATTCAATTTTCAAACATGGTTGATGGTATGTTTGTTTTGTTTTATTGGCGACAATTGCAGCTCTCAGGAAATCTGAATGGAGGTTGTTTGTTTTGCTCTGTCCGGTATTGGAACCAAGTTACTCTTTAAACAAACAGCTGCCAATGTAGCAGCAACGGGGGGAGTTTGAAGGCGAGGGGATGCAAGTTAACTGGTGCTGTAAAAGTCACAGAGTGTTGCGGTCTCCATTCACTGAACTGGTAACTCAAGTTTGTCACTGGGTCACTTGTAATTACGGAGTGTAAACATAAACCACTACACTCCCCACAATATTCTGTTGTGTAATTTACAGTTCGGCGTATGATACGTTTCAATGCCAGCCAATGCCAGCCACTGGTATTGAAACACCGTAAAGTCACAATTTTGAGATGTATGGACCAATCTGGCCTGTTGGAGAGATGTGTGTATCATTGTGTACTAATACACGAGGCGTCTACAGCACCAGTCCGCACTGACCAGGTTGGTTACCACCGCCCAGATCTCATCAGCGGGGCCAATTGTCTCAAACGAACCCGTGTACGAAATAGGCGACGTTTCAGGCAATGCCCCCTTGGTCTCTTGTTAGGCAGGCGGGCAGGTTAGAGGCGCCTACCAGCCTCAAGAGGCTACTACTCGCCCGAGCCCCCCCCCCCACGCTGTGGCTATGGCGGCTCATTGTGACTTTAAAGGGGACGCGGTTGCGGCGTGCTGTGTCGCACTTGGCCACACGGATAGCTTCACCGTCTCCTCGAGTACAACTGGCGAGGGCATAGCGGGTGAATGATGTCCCCCGGGGCGACTCTTTCGGTGTTTTGGGTCGGCCGAGTTTGAGTTGGTGTGGCAACTTAAGGAGATTGCCTCCCGAGAGCGCGCGCCCGCGAGGCCCTAGCTGTTTTGCGAGAGCCTACGGTCTTGCCTAGCGCGGCTGCCGGGGAAGGGGGGAGGTGCCCCCGCCTGGGGAAGCAGGATGAGATGGGTGGGTGGGGTGTGTGGGTTCGGGGTCATTTAGTAATGTTTGAATCGTACATTTAATTTACGTTTCGTAGTGATTTCTCCGCTAAAATACAATCAGCGAGTGATGGAAATTCCACATGGTCTTGCGGCAGGCGTGATATCATGCATATAATGTTCACTGTTGACTTCTCGTATAATAGTGCACAGAATTTCATCCTGCAGGGGGCGATAAACGCGCAAAGGATGCAGTGCTCATGTTTGTTACCAATAAGCAACAACAAGGCCATTGGGATTTCTACTCTACAGGGGGCTTTAGTGCAGCAGATACTCAAACAAGGACACTTCTTACATTCCCCGTACTGTATTCCCTGGCCACAAACCGTGGCAGCCCTAGTTACAGTCCAGGCCACGGCTCAACGTGGTGAAGTATGGTCAGAATCGGATAACGTATTTGTTATTACTGGAGGAATCCGATGGGATACAAAGCAATGTTTTCACAGATGTCCAGTTGACAGTTTTGACAAGGCGTGGGGAGATGGTGGCTTTCCTCCAGCACTGGATTGACAAAGATCCGCGCCTTGTATGCCAATGTTTTGTTTTCCATATACATTTTAAAAGTCATACTGCAGTTTATGATACATATATCTTCTTGGCTGGGGTGGGGGGGGCCAAATACACCAGAGTTAGAACTTACAGCATACAGTCCAGACGTTAAAATACCATTAGCCTTTACACGCGCAGTACGTGTGCAACATTTATGAAGTGACTTTAATCCCGTGAACCATTAACGTGAACACAAAGTGTTTTAAGTGATTTACAACACACTACATTAGTTACTTGAGAGTAATTGTTGTACGGAATGCGGTACTCAGGTGTGCATATACGGTGCTGTATAGATATTACAGATATATTTTGATGATTGCGGATTCTATTTCAATTGATGTAAAGACAAATTGGTCATTATTTCAAAACACAATGCCCCGTATACGCCTGGGTAAGTAACACGCACATCGTACAATTCCTCTTTAAATCCAGGAATGGTCAAATTGATCCCATAAGTGTCCTCTCAGTTGAAGCCTCGATAATAGCATAGCACTAAACCTTACAACTAAACCAAACGGGACACTTCACGTGGAATTATTGCACATACAGCACATATGATCTCTCTTAATTACACACCAGACACAAAAAAACACATCAGCAAGCCCTAAGGATATAAAAGGAGTCTCTTTTCCCCCACCTCCTTATTGGGCTGCTTAACATCAAATAGTAAAGACCCCCGTTAAAGCCTTAACAGACTGTAGGGGCAAGTGCTGTTAGCGAGCACCTATGAAGGCTGGCACGGGATGGGGTGGGTGGCCAGCAACCACGCCCGGCCGCCTTTGTCTCCCCAGTGGTGATGTTTTACACACCGCCACCAGGTACTCATTTGAGGCTGAGTTGAGCTAGGGGAGGCCCAGGACCGGTTCAGATTATCGTCACCCGGTGGTGTTGGCCGGATGACGCTAACCGCAACACCACCGCTCCCCCATCACAACCACCACCACCAACCACACACACACTCTTGAGAAATCCTCCTGAACTGGCTTAGCCAGCTCGTGTCCCAAGCCGTCCCCCCCACGTGGCAGCATTGAGGGGATTCCACAGTTGTCGTTGAATCCTTGGTGCAGGCGCATGAGCACGGACGCACGTGTCAAAGGCATTCCTGAATTTAAACAAAAATATATATTTACATATTAACACGTAGGAGGCTTTCGCGACCAATATCCATAATAGAGGGTTTTTTTGGGCTCGGTCGCGTAAATGTTTTAATGTGTCGTTAAAATTGCCACGACCTGACAGCCAACGAGTAAGGGTTGTCACGTAAACAGAAAATGCCAATTCGTCACTAGTACAGCACATCGAGTTGTCTGTGTCGGGTGGTGGTGGGTTTCACGATACATTAATATATTTATGCGATCTAACCTTAAACGCCTCTTATATTTCAATCTTAATTTTGGAGCTTTCGTGACTGCAGGAATTGTTCTTTGGTTTTATCGGTAAAGTCACGTATAAAGATAAAATAATAAATTAAATAATAGCATACGACGTTTCGATTGCAACACAAGCAATCATCATCAGGTATATATGGGGCGGCACGGTGACGAGATGTTATTTACCTCGCCTGGTATACGGGCGGTTGTGGGTTCAGTCCAGACCCTGACGCCTGTATATTTGGAGTCTGCGAGTGTCTCTCTACCCATGGTCACGTGGATTTTTCTCAGGTTTTTTTCCTCCACATTAATGAACATGCGTTTAGAAGAGTATTTGGCTGCAATACATTTGCACTTTATAACCCACTTAATTGGGCTGTCATTTGCGGCCAAGTCGCTTTTGAAAACGAGCTACAGTATGTGGCTCAGTGGGTCTTACCTGGTAGAAAATAAAAAATAGTCGTTAATTGTTCAAACATGAATAGGTGCCACAGTTGCATTCCCTCCAATTAATTCTTTTTAAATAAAAACTTACACTCACATATTCACACTTTACACGCAAAAACTAAATATTCGTCATTAACACTGTGGATTCAAAAAAATATATATAATAGGCGAGGTTTCAGACAATGGCCTTTCTTCAAAGCACATGCGCACCGAGTAGTTGAAATAAATGCAGCAGTTAATAGATGGGTAATTCCAAGGTCACTTGCAAATGCGACTATCCTGGTCTCTTTGAGTTCTCACCTGGTTACACAAAACACTTGAAACGAAACACACTCGAACTAATAGTAACCATTTAAATTGTTGACTTTAGGAAAGTGTCACTGCTATAGAGTATAATATGGTTTCGTATTTTACCAGGTTTAAGTCCACTAAGCTATGTAGGTCTTTTTCAGACGGCACCTGGTGATCACAAATGAAAGCTCAACGAAGTGGGGTATGATCATGTGGACATTGATCGCAGCCAAACACTCCCAACACGCGTCGATTCTAAATGTGGAGGGAAAAACCGGAGGACCTGGAGAAAAATCCACACGACCACAGGGGTAGAGAGAGAGAGACACATGCAAACTCCAAATATACATGAGGCGTCAGGGTTGAGATCGAACCCACGACCTCCTGCATACCAGCTGAGTGATTTAACAACTCGCCACTGCAGTGCCCCAGTGCAATTTGGATTGAGAGAGGCTGGCAGAATCGGAGTCTCAAGGCATCTTTTCAGGATCCTCTTGCACTGGGATGTTTGGCCAATATTACCTAGCGAGTTGTTTAGCCAATGCTTAATGTGGGAGAAAATTCACCCATAAAAGGGCACGTCAATCAGCAGTGCCATCTCCTTGCAGCCTCACAGGCCCATGCCGACAATCACTGGCAAATCCCAGTGGGCAGTTTATTTGGGTCATTTTTTAGATGGATTGAAAGGACAATAGCTTTTAGAGTAATTATTGCGTGATATAAAAGCAAATTATATTTTAACAGGACAATCACTAACCAGGTTAAAGTCTGCTTCGCTTCCAAGACGTGTTGATATAGGGCGCGTTTAGAGTGATTTGGTCGGAGGCATTTTAATTGAGTAAAATGTGTACGTGTTATGTTCCCTAATTACATCAGGCACGCGATGCATTTTTGCGAAACCTGAATTGACCCGCGCGCTAGCTGCGGCGCTATTATTTTATTGATTCTTGCGTTGATGTAGGCTTAAAATAAAAGGTCAATAATTGACATCGGCCTTCCTCTAGATCGCCCACTCCCTACGCCCATGTGAATGCCCCCCACCCCGCTCGTGCATGTGCCACACTCACTCTTATATCAGTAAAAACAAGGTGAGGATTTGCACATTATCTTCATATAGTAAGGGAAACCTTTGTAAATATTGTAGGGGGGGAAACACGTTTAGATTCATTTTGGAGCAAACATAGTCACAGCAAAAAAACTGAACATTTCATAAATAATACACTCATCAGGATATAATGAGGTTTTTGGGCAATGGTAATTCTTAATGAATTAATGTTTTGAGTTTTTGGAAACCCACCTCTGGTCGAGTTTCGCACCAGACATGGGGATCTCATTTCGCTGGCCGTGGCTGCAAATTGTATCGGCTCCGGTCCTCGGGAGTGAAATCCAGTCCGTATTCTTTGTTTTTTTCGGTAAAGTCACGTAGGTTACCGAAAAACCAAAGAGTATGAATCCTTGCAGTCACGAAAGCTTCAAATCTAGAATCCAGTCCGTATGTTCCCCAGAGTCGGTCTGCTCCATTGACATGTAAATTGCTGAACATTTGTTAAATGTCCCTAATCCAACTGCAGCCTGCAGATAAAACGCAGGGGACGTCAAACAAGCACTGCCAGCTGCTAATTTGCACCGATGTGAAAAAAAAACCTTCACAACTGTTCGAAAGAGACATTGCCATTGTGATCCAGTTCCGTGGCCAAACTGGGAGATGTGCGTGACACGATAACGCTTATTAAATTGCACCTCTCTCGGCCCAATGCCTGTGAGAGACAAGGCTGTCGCTACGTGAATTTCACCGGAATGCGATACTGTACTGTATGGTTGATGCTTGTATGATGATGGGTTACATCCACTGACCAATTCTGTTGATGTGAAACTCTGGAGTGGAGTAATCTCTGGTCTCCATTGAAAAATACACATCTCAGTAGGTTTTCACGGAGTTTAAATAATGGTGACTTACCTATATATCTACTCACCCAGTCACATGCCGACTTATTTGCCTAATAACGTGTCTACACATAGAGCTACTTATTATGTCCTCGTCCACTTCTTTGCCTACATATCCACCTTTTAACCTACTTACCCATACACCTACTTGCCTACCCACTAACTTAAAACTTACCGACTCATCCACTTGCCAATCTTCCTACCGAATGATCAACTTGCATACCTATCTAACGAATCTTTACCCACCTAGATCCCCACCATTCTGCCTACCCATCCATATACCTACCTGCCCATATACCTGGATATCTAATATAGCTATTAACAATCTCACCCAAATATCTGCCTACCCACGTGCCCTACCCACTTACGTATCTACCCATACATATCGCTTCAGAAAAGATCTAGCTACCCAAAGCTCTGACCCACCGACCGACCCACTTGCCTACGACTTAACTGCCTACCCGTCCGCCTACCTATCCAATATAGCTGCCTACACATATACATAGATACGTAACGACCTGTTAACCCACCCACAATGAATATATCTGGGTGTTCATTGAATTTTTGTTACATTTCACGATTGTGTTGTTTTTTTCTTTTATAATTTGTAATCATCATCATTTTTATTTCAGCCAGTGTTCTATTTTTGGTTGCTGCATACACACACACACACACACATCCGATTGTCCGTGTCTTTGTTTTATGTTTGTATTGTGTCTCCTGCGTCATACGTGTTTTTTTATGTTCGTATTGTGTATCCTGCATCATATGCGTGTTTTTGTTTTATGTTTGTATTGTGTCTCCTGCGACATGCACGTGTTTTTATTTTATGTTCGTATTGTGTCTCCTGCGTCATACGCGTGTTTTTGTTTTACGCGCCTGTTTGTGTTTTCTGTGGCCGTGCTTGTTTTAGTTTTACACAAGTGTGTTTTACGCGTGTCTTTTCGTTTTATGTGTGTTTTGTTGGATTTCCGTGCGTGTTGATCGCACTCACGTGTGTTCCCTGGCGTGACTGTGCGCGCGTTTTCGTTTTCACGTGCGCTTGCTCCCGGCGTGATACGCGTGCGTTAGTTTTACGCGCGTGCGTGTGTTCTCTGTGTGGTTGTGCTCGTGCCAGCGGTGTGCCCTGCCAGCGATGTGGACGACGCTGAGCAGTCTTCCCACCGCCGTAGCAGCTGTATGTGTGCGCAGACCAAAGACGCACCGCTTTTTGTGACATCACATCCTTTTTCTTTTACGTTTCCTTTCATAGTGCATTGCACATCACCACGTTTACTTCATAAGCATCCTTGATTTTTATTCCATTACAGCATACACATATATATACACACTCTCTTTAATTGCTAGAAAAAAATTCTAAGATGTAACCCAAAGCAAATAACAACTGTCGCGTACCAAGCAGGGATTAATGTTTGCCGGGACTGTCTGAGTCGGTGACGCGTAAAAAAAATCCCACGCCCGGCACACCATGTCGAGTTCACCTCTCGCTTTAGCTGTGCCTGCGTCGCGTCACATGCGAGCCGAAAGATACCTGGTGAAAAATTAAGCCCTGCTTGGTATCGTAAGATTTTCGTCGCGGTTTGATTCTTAAAGCCGCGCGTCGCTGCGTTGTTACGTTTGCTCGTGTTCACGTGTGCTTGCGTGTTCGATCCGTGTGTGCGACGCGTGGACGTGCCAGCGGTGTGCTCACCGGTAGAGGAGTTCCAGCCGCCACTGCGGCCTAGCCTGGGCTCCCTGGGACGAACGATTCGCCTGCAGGCCAACTTCTTCCAGGTGGGTGGAGCCTTGCCCCCCGTGCCATCGAACGGTTACCCGTACCGTCATAGCCCTTTTTCGCTGGCAGGTACGTGCCGAGCCAGTGCCGGGCCCTCGCTGTGCATGTGGGTTTTCATTGGCTCTTATTCCGTGCCAAGCCAGAAACCAAACCACGACACGCTGGCCTCACAAGACCTGTGAATCCGGCTCCAGGGCCAGGGGTAAGGCTAATGACGACAGTGCGCCATGAGGACCACGGGGTCGCCTTGTAATCTCCGCGAGTCTTGACTCGTTCAATGTGTGTGACGTCAGTTGTAAGTCCCAGTTGTTCAGTGGAAAAGAGGTATCACAGCGGGTCTTCCCAAAGACCCGAGGAACGTCTCCCTGGTTTACCAGCCTACTCTTTTGTTCAAGAAAATTAAAGTTGTTACACGCCGCGGGAACCTGGTGATTGTTAAACATGTAGCACATGTCCCTCGTGACACAGAGCGTTGATAAAAATGAATCTTTAAAAATCTCGTGTGATTTGCGTCCCGAGAGTTTTTTTATTCGTTTAAAATAAAAATGGCATGCATCTGTGCTTGCGGTGTCTCGCACGACGGAATGGTGTGTGTACGTGCATTATGTGTGTGTACGACGCGACATACAGTGCACTCTGATAACCTGTTTGTGCATGGCGGTCAAGCATCTTAGCCACTACGCAGGACAGATGGTTCCTGCGCTGTAGAATGGATTTTTTATCGAACGACGGGATGGATGGATGGATGGACGGGTGCTCCGATCGTCACACTCTGATTGGCCGGTCTGTGCGGCTGTCTCTACTCTAAGGTGGATATCCCCAAGGGCTTCCTGCAGCACTACGAGGTGGAGGTGAAACCGGATAAGTGTCCACGCCGCGTGAACAGGTACGCGCTCGCTCGCGTACGCACGCCACTGCTGCCTGATGAGCATCGACGTAACGGGGCAGGCAACTACATACCTTACCTGTCAACCCCTTATCAGTGCCTACCTTATTGCAGACCAATTCAGACCTTATTGGTTACTCCGTGCCCATTATAAATCTCAAGGTTCATCCTACAAAGTCCCTATCACAAGGGAGAAACACAAACAAAGATGAACAAAAATGTGTCCGTATTGAAACGGCCGTACGCCTTATGGACCCGAAAACCGTACGGGTTGACAGGTATGCAACTCAACACGCTAAATATTATTACAATGCGCAGGATTTAGCAGCCAATGTTTCGCGATGCATGATTGAGTTGTTTTGTGTTGTGTCACGTGGCTGTCAAGCGGCCCAACAGAGCCAACGATTGAAATTGTCACGTGTAGAAAGCGTTTTTTTTTTTTACGGGCCAATTATAAACGTTGTTTCTGCTCCATGATAAGTTGGAAGAAAACATTTCACAACCAAACTTTGCAATTAGTTACTCATTGGATGTATCAGATACAATTCGATAGTAACTAAATTCTCTCTAATTGGTAACAAGATATCTAATTGTTATCTTATTGTCCTGCATAGGGTTATTTTCGGCTGGCGGGCAGTTGGGGTGCGGGGGGGGGAGGTTAGGGGTAGGGTCCCCTAAGCTCGACTACCACAGCTGTCTGAAATAGTTGAGACCCTTTGATATTCTGGAGCATTTAAGCTCACGTACTGCACAGGTTTTCCGCATTCTATGCGGGTTTCGCTTCGTGCGATTATCGCGTATGTGCGGCGAAACCTATTTGGACACAAAATTCGCTCTATGCGGTTTAAATTCTCTCCTTATGCAGCTGTGTGGTTGGACGTGGGGCTTGGTGGCGAGACGTTAACTCCCTCGGCTGGTATGTAAGAGGGCGTGGGTTCAATCTTTACCTTGACGCCTGCTGTATATTTGGAGTTTGCATGTTCTCCCCATTGTCGCGTGGATTTTTCTCTGGATCCTCCGGTTTTTCCCTCCATTTAGAAACGTGCATTCGGCTGCTATAAATTTCCACATGATGACGAGCCACTTTGTTGAGCTGTCATTTGTGAGCCAGGTTGCTTCTTAAAAAGTGCTCTATAGCTCCGTGGGCCTTACCTGGTAAAATACAAACAGTTTAGTAGTTTCGTTTCGTACTGTGTGCACTACTCGGTAGGTAGCCACCACCTAATGCAGTGGTGCATCATGGGCTCGGTGACCGCGCACCGTCCACGCTTCGTGATTCCGCCTCGTGCCCCCCCCCCCCCCCCCATTATTTTGTTAATGCACACTGCTACGACCGCACCAAAGCGAGGGAAAACCTGTAACGTGCAAACCTCTTGAGCCGTGTGTCCCCCACTCGCACGTCGCCCCTGCAGGGAGGTGGTGCTTCACATGGTGCAGCACTACAAGCAGATTTTCGGCGAACGCAAGCCGGTGTACGACGGGCGCCAGAACCTGTACACGGCAACTCCTCTGCCCATCGGCTGGGACCGGGTAAGTGGTCCGGCATGGAATGTGCCGCGCAGATTACCAGCACCGCCATAATTACGGCTGCGGCCAGCCACCATCCGAAATCACCGCCATCGGCGACACCACCGTCGCCAGCATCGCCATTGTGACCATAAACATCGTTAAATTAACCGTCGCCGCTACTATCATCACTAAGGCCACCATAGAAATCCCCATCGGCAATACAACCGTCACCGGAATGACAATTTTCATCATAAACACCACTGAAATGACCACCAGCACGACAACCATCACTCTGCCTATGACCACATCACCCTGAATGTATACACCTGATCATGAGATTATTACTCCTTCCATGAACGTTTCAGAATTCTGTAAGAATTCTGGTTCATGGGCAGTACTTCTATGCTCCCACTTGTCTGCTCCCTGCTTTCACCAACGCTCACTGACCAGTGTATTGACGGATGGTCAGAAATTCGGCATGATCCACATTAAACGCTTGTGTCTGTGTCCCAGTTTGGGGAGCAGTCGTGATCCGAGTTCGATTCCCGCTCACAGCCACCAATTTACCAAGTGACGAGTATCTGGACCGGTCATGGGCCTCCCCTAGGTCGACTCAGCCTTAATTGAGACCTGAGTGGGATGTAAAATAAATCGCCACTGGGGAGACAAAGGTGGCTGGGCATGGTGCTGGCCACCTACTCCCTTGTGTGCCGTTGCAGCCTTCATATGCGCTCACTCGCAGAACTTGTCCCTACAGTGGGTTGAAGGCTATGTGGGGGATCTTTGTCTTTGTACGTCCCAGTTTAGGAAGCGGTAGTGTGACAGTTGGCGCACTGCACCACTAACCCGGCAACCCAAGTTCAATTCCGCTCACGGCCATCATTCGTGGCGAATATTTGAACCTGCCTTGGGCCCTCCTCCCCCTAGGTTAACTCAGCCTTAAATGAGCACCTGGTGTGCGGTATAAACAGCAGCACCGGGGAGACGAAAGCAGCTGGTCGTGGTGCTGGCTCCATGCCGCCACATCGCTCGCCACAGCGGCCTTAACATGCGCTCGCAAACCAAACTTGCCCCAACGGACTGTTAACAGGTGGCACGTGGCACCCGTGTTCTTTGCGCTGTTTTCCACCCACCGCCCCCCCCCACCGCTGTAGGTGGAGCTGGAGGTGACCCTGCCGGGCGAGGGGCGCGATCGCAAGTTCTCGGTGTCGCTGCGCTGGGTGGCCTCGGTGAGCCTGCAGATGCTGAGCGAGGCGCTGGCCGGGGAGTCGTCGAGCGTCCCCTACGACGCCGTGCTCGCCCTCGACGTCGTCATGCGCCACCTGCCCTCGATGAGGTGCGGGGGGGCGGGGGGAGGCAGGGGGGGGCGGCTTTTACCGGCTCCCCTCGTCGTCGCGTTCGCCAGCTCCCGCGGCCACCCACAACTCCCTCGCTGGCACGTCCGCCCATCCGATTCCCCCACTGGTTCGTCTGCTGGCTCGCCCATGGGCTCGTCTGCCGGCTCTCCCAACTGGTTTACCCGCTGACTCGCCTGCCCAGCTGCTCCCCTGGGGGTTTGCCAACTGTCTCACCCGCTGGCTCGCCCACTCCCCCATTGGCTAGCCCACTGGTTCGCCCACCAAATAAATAACCTAAACAACGTTGGCGTGGCGAGTCTGCGAGTTGCACCTGTCCTGGGGGCCCTCCACCCCCACGCCCCCCCCCCCTACTAGGTTTGACTCTGCCTTGGCGACTCGTTGCAGGTACACGCCGGTGGGACGCTCCTTCTTCTCGGCCCCCGAGGGGTACTGCCACCCGCTGGGCTTCGGCCGCGAGGTCTGGTTCGGATTCCACCAGTCTGTGCGGCCCGCCATGTGGAACATGATGCTCAATATCGACGGTGAGCGATGGGGTGGCCCGGGTGGCCCGGGTGGAGGGGTGGGTGGCTTTAGGGGAGGTTCTTGTAGTGGGTTGAGACGTGCCGGGCCAGTGGCGATGTTGGGATATATTCACCGTGGTGGGGACGGTTTGACCATATTTGGGTTGGGCCTGCAAGGCACCCAATAGGTCAGGCCCACCAATATTCACAGGAACTAATCTGTCTTTATTCTCCAACGAGGTCCTTGAGATCTTCGGATCGCCTTCTTATTCGAAGTACTCTTGAGGCCAACCACACCGCTCCATTGTATCATCGTTTTGCAAGCTACGTCGAGTGCCTCTAGGTGAAGGCGCTCTGCATGAATTAGATCCGATCGCATCTTCCATTAACGGGCGGACGGTGTGAATGGATGAATGTCGGCGACTGCAGTGTCGGCGACGGCGTTTTACAAGGCCCAGCCCGTGGTGGAGTTCCTCTGCGAGATCCTGGGCGTGCACTCCCTCGACGATCAGCGCAAGCCACTCACCGACTCGCAGCGCGTCGCCTTCACCAAGGAGATCACAGGCACGGCCGCGCGCACAGATCAACCCCCCCCCTTCCCGCCAGCAAGGCCCATAGTTGGAATGCCACTGTCGTGCATGTCTGTGACGGAGCGCCCAAGTTCCTACCCCTGCCGCCGACAGCCTTTTTGCAGCGTGATAGCGTTCGGTGTGAAGCAGTCGTCGCGTTCATTGATGATTGGTTGATTGATCCAGCACATCACCGTTTCACTCCAGTCGCTTGCTCACCAGCGGTCAGTCGGCCTCCTCGCCCCCCCCCACCGACAAGGCACAACTTTGCCCAGCTTGGAAAACTGTTGTCGTATCTGTGGTGAAGCACCCAGTTTCTACCGAACAACTATGCCGCCACCTCTTCGCAACAAATTACAAGACCAAGATACCCATATAGGCTTAATATACCGTTGAGGCAAGTGCTGTTAGCGAGCACCTACGAAGAGAGTGGTGATGCAGTTGGCATCGCACCCTGCCACCAGTGCTGTCTTCCCAGTGCTGATTTTGACACACCGCATCGTTTAAGGTTGAGTCGACCTAATGGAGGCTCAAGGCCGGTGCAGATATTCGTCGGTGATGTTGTCGGCGGTTGCCGGGTCCGTAGCACAATGCGCTAACCACTGCTCCGCCACTCTCCGCTGCCGCTTTGTCTCTGCTCCCGCATCTCACACACCACGATCCTCGCTGTCCGCACGCGCAGGGCTGAAGGTGGAGATCACGCACTGCGGCCAGATGAAGCGCAAGTACCGCGTCTGCAGCGTCTCGCGCAAGTCCGCCAGCCACCAGACGTACGTCCGCACGCACAGGCACAGGGAACAGGATCGGGGTTCCGAGCGCAGTGTGCTAACCACAGCGCCACCGCTCCCCACAAGGCAAAGATCCCCCGTATAGCCTTAACAGCCTGAAGGGGCAAGCACTATCAGCGAACACCTATGAAGGCCGGAACGGCACACGGATGCCGCCTTTGTCTCCCCCTTGGCGATGTTTACACACCGCACTCGGTACACACACAGGTAGACACATTAGTATGCACATTCGTCGTACACTCTTGCGTGGTACGGTTTTCGTGCCGTGACGATTCTACGATGCATCGCGCAATTACAAGGTCGGTGGTAACAGCAACGATCTTTGCACTTGTACGGCGCCCTTAAATTCCTCGGCAACTGAAAAAGAGCCTTGCATCTCATCTCAATTTGAATAGTAGTCATTACCCCCCTTTGGCGGCAGTCCGTGTGTGGCTGAAGGTGACCCGGCACCGACCAGTAGGGGCAATGATCGCCGCCGTGTGTAATATAAATCGAGTTCGGCACTTTCTGTTTACGTGACAACCCTTACTAGTTGGCTGTGTCGGGTGGTGGCGTGTTTTAACGACACATTTATATATTTACGCGATCTAACCCAAATAAACCTCTTATGGATGATATTGATCGCGAAAGTCTACGTGTTAAACTGACAAATTGAGTAGTTTGCGAAGTGATTTTTTTTTTGTCTAATTTGGCAAATTTGAACCTTGACGCCGGCTCGCAAATGATGGCCTGCTCATTTTGAATGAAGTCACGGGATTTTTAACTTACATTCTCAAACTGCCGTTCCATCATCAGTGTTGTTATCATTATTATTCCACTCTTGCGCACGATGGCAGCACTGTGGTTCAGGAGTTCTATGCCAATGTCGAGGTCTGCTGTTGTTGCTGCTGGTCAAGACGAGAGGGCTTCAGCAGAGAGAGTTGGATAATTGTTTTTTTACCATTTTATCTGGCAAAAAAACTGACACCTTTTCTACAAGGAGTCATGTTTGCATTGACCACAATACCTGCGGTCGGAATGCAAACAAAAAACACAACTCTGATCATGTATGCACTGTCCTTGAAATTGATTGGGCCACACCCGAGACGGCTTTTCTTAGAGCCTAGTCTCACATGGGGTGGAACAGATGACGCCAAAAGGCGCACAACTCAAAGACAATGCACCATCAGAGTATGAGAGCTCGGGCGAAGCATTTTTAAAAAAAGGTGTCAGTTTTGTTACCAGATTAAAGGGCAAAAAAACAATTATCATATCTTGCTACTGGCAAAGGAGGTTCCAATGGTGAGAGAGAGTTTGTGTCGTTTTTCTGTTCCTCCTCTTCCGTTGAAGGAGCGTAGACGACAGTGGTTTACTCTGAACCGTACTCCGGGTTGCGCGGTTCTCTTGTGGTGCATTGCATATGTAAAGGAGCTCCAGCCGGGCGAGTCCTTGAACTTCATCTTCATTACGTCTTCCATACATCAGGGAATCGCTCTGTTCAGGCGTCACCCCGACCCCCCCCGCCCCCCCTTTCTACCCCTCCTTTATTTCTACACCATCCTTCCCGGAACTCTCCGCAACTCTCCACCAATCCCATTCATATCCAATAACGGTCTCCTAACCGACCCCTCATTTACAATTAGTTTTCTGTGACGGCCAATCCCATCTTTGTTTTAAATGTTCTCCTTGGAATCCGATTGGGTGTGCCCCCCCCCTCCCCGCGATTGCTCCTCACCAATGAGAGTGGAGGGCGCTATTCGAACTCGCGAGCCGTCAGACTCGGCGAGTGAATGTTCGTTCGTACGTTTCCCAGTCTGCTTGCCCTGGTGATCCCCAGACCTACCTTTCCCTGGCGACGGTCTAGCTAGTCCCAGGCGTTCCCAGGCCAGCCGAGCGACACTGTGCGTATTTATTTATTTCAGAATAAGGCTTTGCCTCTCGTCAACCCTTCCGCACGCAACTTGCTGAACGCTCTTTCTGTCGCTCTCCACCGCACAGGTTCCCGCTACAGCTGGAGAGCGGGCAGACGGTGGAGTGCTCGGTCGCTCACTACTTCCGGGAGAAGCACAAGCTGCAGTTGCGCTACCCGCACCTGCCGTGCCTGCAGGTCGGCCAGAAGGAGAAGCACACCTACCTGCCCTTGGAGGTGAGGCCACACGCCCCCCCCCCCTCTAGACCCAACCTTTCACTTCCTTTATGAACCCTTTCCCGTTCCGATGACGTACGTGTCCATCGTCAGTTTTTCTTCAGATTCGGAGGTGTGAGGAAAGGACAAAACAAGCTAAACACGAAAAGCAGTTCTAAAGAAATGAGCTTTCAATCTAGATTTAAAAGTGCATAGCTCCAGTGGCTTCCTAACATCGGAAGAGCATTCCAGACGGACCGCAGGAGCGCTTCTGAAAGCGCGCGATGCAGCGCCAGTCTTTGTTCGATGCGAGGATGACCGGCGTTACGCATGACGGTTTACGCTCCTTGACGAGATCGGCGAGATATTGTGGCGAGCGCTTTGTGTGCGTAATGAGTACGACCTGATGTATTCCTTCCGCAACCGGAAGCCTGATCTAACCCTGTCCCCATCCCGCCCAGGTGTGCAACATCGTGCCGGGCCAGCGGTGCATCCGACGCTTGACGGACAGCCAGACGTCGACCATGATCAAGGCGACGGCGCGTTCGGCCCCCGACCGTCAGGAGGAAATCAGCAAACTGGTGGGGACGCAAGCCTAACAAAGACAAAGATCCCCCGTATAGCCTTTTTTACAGGCTGTTGGGCCAAGTGCTGTGCACAAGCAGTGCCTATGAAGGCCCGGCGTGGCACACGATGGGGTTGTGTGGCCGGCACCACGCCCGGCCGCCTATGTCTCCCCAGTGCCGATGTTTACACACGGCACCAGGTACTCATTCAAGGGCTGAGTCGTCCTTGGGGCGGCCCAAGACGGGTTCAAATATTCGCCGAGCGGTAATCGAACTCAAGTTGCCGGGATCGTCGCGCAGTGCGCTAACCAGTACAGTCTGCTCTGCTATAACGCCATGTGGTTTTCGTAACTCGAATTGGATAGAACGCAATGAATGTATTAGGGGAACACATTTTTTATCACGTGGATGCGAATTGGATATAACGCGATCGAGTGAACGAACTATGTCGCGCGAGTACGAATGAGCGGCCGTACGGCTGCCTCGGCGTAGCATCACACAAGGCGGGATGCTGCTGGATGCTTCTGGATGCTACCCACGTGCCTCAGTCTTTGATTAGCCTGCGCACGCATCTCACGAGTTACCGCGGACTGTGCTTTATCCTACATTATATATTATTTATTATAACGCAGTGTTCTTCAGGAATGCAACTACCGCTTTATGGAAGAAGAGACTGTACACCACTGCGCCGTCGCACACTACACATGTGCACACACATACTACACAAAGGCAAAGATGATCTGTGTAGACATGGATGAATTTCAGTCCGTTTGGTCTGGGTTCGTGACCCAAGAACATTTTTCTGCACCCAGAACACCACATCCAGTATACCTCCCACCTATGGTCGTGGCTTACGAGTCCCGTACCACCTCTGGTAGAGACACAGCGACTCGGGAAATATTCGGTGATGAAGCCCTGCAAACAGGTTCCATAGAATAACATGCGGCCCGTAGACTTGCACAAATCTCGCGCTCAGTTCGGAAAAAGTTCCCCATCTGTGGCTTAAGGAATGACCAGGTCCCACCACAGCAATGTGGAATTTCCACCACTGGTTCGTGATCAGCAGCGGAAGATGAGCACGTAGACAGATCAATCGTGATGTTTTTCTCCCGATGTGAACTGAAACTGCGGTCGCTGCATCGCGCGCTTTCGGGTGCGCTTCTTCGCTGCCTGTCTGGAAAGCTCTTCCGATATTAGGAAGTCGCTGGACCTATGCACTTTAAAATCTAGATTGAAAACGAATTTCTTCAGAACTGCTTTTTGTATTTCGTTGTTTGTCCTTCCCCCGAACCTCCGATTAGCACATTTGGCTACATACGGATGCGAAAGAAGTTCTGCATGCATACGGAACGATGACCGTAAATCGAACCATGTCCGTGTGTTATTTTCAGATGAAAAATGCAAACTTCAAGGGCGATCCGTTCATGCGCGAGTTTGAGATCCGGGTTCGCGACGACATGACGGAGGTCACAGGCCGGGTGCTGCCCGCTCCAATGCTGCAGTACGGTGGCCAGGTGCGTCCCTTCCCTATGCCTGAGCAAATGAAATGGCTCGCTCTACATCCCGACACATCTCTCACTGTATACATCAGTCGACAGATTAACATGTGGGGTGAGCGTTTTACCAGAATCTCCACTCTACAAGCTCACGCATTACACTTTGTTTTTACCCGTCTTCAGATTTGCATTGTGGGTTAGCGGTTATCCAGACTCGACAGTCACGTGTATACAGCTCGCTATACAAGCTAACACTTACGAAAAAGCGATTTAGGAAAACCGCTCTCTATAGATGAACATGTGGATTAGAGTTTAACCAGGTTCAACAGTCATGTACAGGCAGTCCTTGACTTACGAACACGCAATTGAGGAAAACCGCTCTTACCAATCAGCTTCCATGATTTTTTTTTTACATTAAGTTAAAACACAAACTCGCACTTGCAAACCGAACCACTGAACTATTTTGTTCAGCGGAGCTATGAGATGTAATGAGTCGGCCTCATGCTGGGAGTGGGTGTCCGTGTGTGTGTGCACATGTGAGTGCCCGTGTTTGTGTGTGAAAGTGAGTGCGTGCATGCACACGTGTGTGTGTGCCTGTGCGCACACATGCCCCCCCTGTGTGTGTGTGTGTGAGGAGTGGGTAGTGCAATGGTTAGCGCACTGTGCTACCAACCCGGCGACCCGAGTTCGATTCCCGCTCACGACCAACAACAGTGACGATTAACTGAACGGGTCCTGGGCCTCCCCTAGGTCGACTCGGCCTCAAATGAGTACCTGGTGCAGTGTGTAAACATCGCGATTGGAGAGACGAAGGCGGCCGGGCGTGGTGTTGGCCACCCACCCCCTGCGTGCTGTGCCGGCCTTCATAGGTGCTCGCTAACAGCACTTGCCCCAACCGTCCGGTAAAAGCTTTACGGGGGAGTTTTGTTTATGCGCGGCAGTGGGTGGTTATCGCACAGTGCTACGAACCCGGCGACCCGAGTCGGATTCAATGTGAATGTAGCTTGACTATCAGGTTGTGTTGCTATCGGGGACTTGGCCGATGAAAGATCGTCCGAATTGATGTGCGGGGCTTACCCTGTGTCCGTCAACACTTGTCCCAACAGTCTGTTAATGCTATACTGGGGAATCGTTGTCGTTGGTGTGTGTGTGTGTCTGTGTGCGTGTGTGTGCGTGCGTGCCCCGTGTCTGTATGCAATTGTGGTGACTCATTGCGCCCCTTCCGACAAGCAAGTCAGCATCAGGACTCGAGGTAACTAAAAATATTTGTTTCTTTATTTTATGCTTTATTTACTATACAGTATTCATGACAGTATTACATGGCAATGTACATTTTTTTCTTATGAGTTTAACAATGCTTTCCTTTTTTGTTGAACCATAACACATTTCATAACACTGACCGTGTGGGCATTTAAATACGTTACAATATTGTGTTCCGACTTACGAGAACCGTTCGACTTTACGAACATGTCTCAGGAACGAATTATGTTCGTAAGTCGAGGACTGCCTGTATTGCAGCTAACATATTACACTTTGCATCTACCTCTGGGTTAGAGTTTTACCAGGCTCAACAGTGATGTCTACAGCGCACTCTTCAAGCTAACACATCACACTTTGTTTACACCTTTCTACAGTTGAACATCTGGATTAGAAAGTTTAACCAGACTCAGTGGCCATGTAATACAGCTCGCTCTGCAAGCTAACACATTGTGCTCTGTATACACCTGTCACAGATGAATATGACCCATATTGCTCTGTCACATCGTGTCCATGAGATGGAGTATCCATTCAGATCTCCCAGAGTGCAGTCCCACAACCCCCCTTTGCTGGGAGAACGGCCAACGCAAGCGGATATCCCAGAGCTCCCTCTGAGAAAACCTTCACGTGGCTTCTGGTCCATGCAGTAGAGGGTAGCACATTCCCACCAGACTTGCATGTGAACTTAATGTTCGTCGCAAGGCACTCATAACCAAAATGTCATTCTCGGAGCTGGAATTTAGCCAAATTAAGTGCCGAAACCAAAGTTTTAAAAATGTGATGGGTTTTTGTTCATTGGTGTGGCCCCGGGGCTGACACTATCAACTCTCCCTCCGCTTGAGAAACCCCAGTTGTTTTTAACCACAGACAGTAGCCTGGATTCGAACCTCGAATTTCCAGCCGTGGTGGCTCCAGCGCTCTGACCTCCTTCAGCCCACACCCGGCTACCTCTGCGCTAACGCGTCCCCACCGCCCTTGCCGCCGGCGCCACGGTCTCGTGTCGCCTGTGCAGACAAAGACCATGGTGACACCCAACCAGGGCGTGTGGGACATGCGCGGGAAGCAGTTCTTCACGGGGATCGAGATCAAGGTGTGGGCCGTCGCTTGCTTCGCCTCGCAGAGGGACTGCCGCGAGGAGGCGCTCAAGTGAGTCTCGCGGTCGAACGGTGAACCGGCCTGAGAGAGGCCCCCGTCGGTAATGATGACGATGGTGAATAAATACAAATTCAACTTGTAACGCTGCGTCGTTGTCGTCGTCGTCGTCGTCGCCGCCGCCGCACGGGATTCGTGTCGAGAGAGAGGACGACTTGGAGGGCGCGTGGAGGAACCATGGGCGAGCTGGAAGGCAGCCGTGCGGTGAGCCGGTGCTGGAGATTGCCAAAGCTCTGCGTTCCTCTGTATACATGTCAAGGTGTTATCGGCCAGCTATTCAGGAGTTTTTTTTTTGGTGGGAGAAAACTGGGGCACCCGGAGAAAATCCTCCACGCGTGCGTGGGGGAAGCGCTCTCTATCCCACACAGATTGGGACAGGCGGAGTCCACATTTGTCTGTACCGCCTGCTGGCAAGCCCAGGGTTATGACTCCTTGACTCCCACAGGAAAGGAGTTTTTTTTTTTTTTGCAACATTTTGTGCGATCCACCAACCCGCTCTGCTTTGTCTCCTCTCGATAATATTTACAAAGCCTTCTCGATGACAATCTGTTAAATATTACAGCGTGACATGGAGCGGTGGAATCCGCCCGAGTGCGGGTGCCGGGGGTGTGAGGGTTGTATAGTGGGGATGGGTGTGATCCAGCATTGGCTTGGCCGTGGCGGCTGATCGATGGTGCTGGCGGGGGCTATGGTGCAGTCGGGATTTGGTGGAACGCCGCGCAAACGTTGCGAAACTCCCTTCCTGTTGGCGTCGAGGAGGTCCAATACTCGACAGCAGAAAGGCAGTACAGCAAAAGTGTTAACTCCACCCGTTCCGTCTGTATGGGATAGAGTGGTTACCCCCTTGACACATGTGGCATATCGCCGGGTACTCTGGTTTCCTCCCACATGTGAACGCGTATCATTAATTGGCCGATGACACCTTTTATATATAGAGGACCGCAGAGCTTTGGAAGTTGTTGGCGTCGGTTCATTGCGTGGCTGCATTCGTGCTCGTCTGTGGATTCCTTCCTCGCGCCCTCGGAGTCGTTCTCTCTCTACCAGAGGTCGCAAATGTGTTTTGATTCCTTACCCGTAACCGTACCCGGCCGCACCAGAGACGCAAATGGGTACCCGTTCCCTACCCGTATCCTACCCGAAATGAGTGACAGACAGTTACTCACCAGTGACTCACGGCCTACCCGTACCTGTACCCGGCCGCACCAGGGTCGCAAACGGGTACCCGTACCCGTACTTGGCCGGGTACGGGTAGCCGGGTATCGGGTAGGGTACGGGTATCGGGTACCCGGTTGCGACCTCTGCTCTCTACGAGAGCGAGGAGTGATCCCGTGTGGCTGCAGCGGCGGTGCAGCATTACAAGTTGACATTATTCTTGTTGCGATGGCGGTGGTAACGCTGGGAAAATCCGACCATCGCAGGAACTTCACGGAGCAGCTGCGCAAGATCTCGAAGGATGCGGGAATGCCCATCCAGGGGCAGCCGTGCTTCTGCAAGTACGCGCGTGACGCCGAGAGCGTGGAGCCCATGTTCCGGCACCTAAAGAACACGTACGCCGGCCTCCAGCTCATCCTCGTCATCCTGCCGGGCAAGACGCCCGTCTACGGTGAGTGCGGCCACGGCTGGTCCTCGCCCGAACCCGGTGCCAGGAGTGGAAGATGTTTTTGTTTGCCGAGCGTCGGCTTGCGGTGCAGGGTAAAGTGGTGACCTATGTGTCTGCGTCTGGAAGGCCAACAAACTAAACACCAAAAGCAGTTCTAAAAGAAATGAGCATGCAATCTGCATTTAAAAGTGCATAGAGGAGTGTTCCAGACAGCCGCAGAAGCGCATCTGAAAGCACGCGATGCGGTGACCGTCTTTGTTCGACGGTTAGCCAAAAGGCGCTTGCGAGGATGACTGGAGTTTAGCGCGATTCATTTATGCTCCTCGACGAGATCGGCAAGGTATTGTGGTTCATGTGTAGCAAGCACTTCGTGTGCAATGAGCGCGGCTTGATTTGCTGCGTTGGGTCGGCAACTCGAAGCCCCAAGGCCTGCCGGCTTCAAATCGCAAACCTCCGCAACGAGCGGTGAACACGCTGCCGCCTGGGCTGTGTCGCTGCCGCGTTGACACGGCAGGGGGCGCAGGCACCGCATCAGCCGGTCATCTCAGTCGGTCGACCCATGGCACCTGGGTCTGTCCCGTGACCTCCTGCCAGCGAACCTTCGACACTTCACACGGCCTGAAAGTGCACATGGCCTGGCACAAGCCGCCGCGGTGACGTCGCCGCCACTTTAGTGACGAACGGCGGTTGTTGCTGTTGTTGTGTGGACTTGCGTGCGCGCGCGTGTGTTTAATATGCGTGTGTGTGTGTGCGCGCGTGTGGCTGCAGCGGAAGTGAAGCGTGTGGGCGACACGCTGCTGGGCATGGCGACGCAGTGCGTGCAGATGAAGAACGTGATCCGCACGTCGCCGCAGACGCTCTCCAACCTCTGCCTCAAGATCAACGTGAAGCTCGGCGGGGTCAACAACATCCTCGTGCCGCACCAGAGGCCTGTCCCACCCACCCACTCGCCCCCCTACCCACTCGCATCGCCACCTATCCCACCCGTCCACCCACCCACCCATGTGCTCACTCGCCAACCTGCTCGCCGACTCATCTACCCACCTGTATGCCATACCACCAGTATACCAACCCATATACTCGTCCGACTACCCGTATGCCCACCTACCCACTGTCCCGTATATTCACCTAAACGCCAATATGCCCACTTACCCTTGTACTCGCCCAGCCGCCCAAATTCCAACCCACTCACCCAAACTCGGTCACCCACCCATATTCTCACCTATACATATAATCGCTTGTATACTCTTCTGCCTATATACGCAACCATCCACTCAACTACCCATAAAATCGACCACTCAACCATATATCCACTCGCCAATACACTCGCCCACCCATAATCACCCACACATAAGCACCCATCCAACCGTATATCAATCGACCCACCCATACGGTCACCCACTCACCCATATGGTCACCCACTAATTTACTCACGCACCTACGCCCCCACCCAAATACTCGCCCACCAATCCATATACCCACCCACATAATCACCCACTAATTTACGCACCCAACCACCCATACACTCGACCACCCACCCAAATACTAGCGTACTCATTTACTCACCCACCCATATACCTGCCCACCCAAGCACCCATACACACAATCACCTACCAGTATACAGGCATACGTCTTCTAGCGCTACCTATTATTATTATAACAACGCCGTTTTGTATAGTGCTCTGTTTTTAAGAGGACCGCATCCGGAGTGCTGTGATGGGGGTATGCCTGTACCCACTGCGCCCTGTGTCGGTTGACATCCGCCCGCCGTTGCTGTTCCGTCGCGTGCCTCGTATTGACGTCGTCCCCCGTTGTCCTCCGTGCTCCGCCCCCCCCCCCCCCCCCGCTCCTTCACGCCCCCCGCTCGTGTTCCCCGCAGGCCGGCCGTCTTCCAGCAGCCAGTGATCTTTCTGGGCGCCGATGTCACCCACCCGCCGGCGGGCGACGGGAAGAAGCCGTCCATCGCTGCCGTGAGCACTGGCCCACGCACTCCCCCGAGGCGAACACCGACAATGATTCATAAATGTCGCCCGGTGGGCTTTCGCGACATGTATACATACGTGATGATCCGTAATTGATGGTTGGCTCGGGTCGCACGAGTAAAACTCCTGCGTGTGTCGGAAACCCCTCCTCCACCCATCCACCCGGACCCCCAGACGTTGCGACTTGACGCAAAAAAATTGGTCGTGAATCAGCGATAATAGTAACAATAATAACACAAACATTTTGTGCAGCGCCTTTAATCGGAAGATCGCTAAGCCCTGTACATGTGAGCATTTCAACATTCCGTACAAAATAAGAGCTATCAAGGTGTCCAAGATATGAGATGATGAGCTGTAAAAGAGGCCTCTGGTGCCATACGGGGTGAACAGATTGCACCGAGTCGTTGGATCTGTAGACGCCCGGTCTCAGCCGTGGCTACAAAACAGCGACCGTGCCCGAGTCACGGATACGGCTGACGGGGGGAGGGCACTTGCCCTCAAGAGTCTGTTGAGGCTACACGGTGGAACGCGGGGATCTTTGTGCAGGTGGTGGGCAGCATGGACGCGCACCCGAGCCGCTACTGCGCCACGGTGCGGGTGCAGCAGCACCGGCAGGAGGTGATCCAGGACCTGTCGCTTGTGGCGCGCGAGCTGCTCATCCAGTTCTACAAGTCGACGCACTTCAAGCCCACCAAGATCATCTACTACCGCGACGGCGTGTCCGAGGGACAGTTCCAGCAGGCATGCTCCCGCAAGCTCGCTCGCTCGCACAGTCATTACACATGCGCCGTTGGGCAGGATTCTACGCTCACACGCTCGCACGCTCACTGGCTCGTGTGCTCATTCCAGCAGGCATGATCGCTCGCTCGCACACTCGCTTGCTCGCACACTAAATCGAACTAGCAGGTACCCGTGCACTCACTCGATCGAGGCCTGCGCCTGCTCTCTAAATTGCCTCCCGTCCTCTTCCTCCCCCTGCTGCCCCCCCCCCCCAACCCCCCAGGTCCTGCACCACGAGCTGCTGGCGATCCGCGAGGCGTGCATCCGCCTAGAGGAGGACTACCAGCCCGGCATCACCTTCATCGCCGTGCAGAAGCGCCACCACACGCGCCTCTTCTGCTCCGACAAGACCGAGCGGGTGCGACCACACTGACCCGCCCACCCGCCGCTACCCCCGCCGCTGCTGCCCCCTTGCCTCCCCCGAACTCTGCCCTTTCTGTCTGCGGTGCGGCGTGAGTGATTTCGCGAGCGTGTGATTCGGTTTAGATCGCTGCGTCGTCACTCACTCCTTCCCTTTCCCAGAGCTGGGGGGGGGGGGGTCTCAAGCGTGAGGGGGGGACAAGTAATCGGCCATCCTCCCCCCCCCCCCCCTGCTCCCCAAACCCATCTCTCGCTTCCCGCTCTCGCAGAGCAACAAACATTAAAACCGTGCGACGCTTTCTCTTTGCAGATCGGGAAGAGCGGGAACATCCCTGCGGGTACCACCGTGGACACGAAGATCACCCACCCTACGCAGTTCGACTTCTACCTGTGCAGCCACGCAGGCATCCAGGTGAGATCGCCGGTGCCAGCGCGACGGGTCCACCGTGATCTTGCACCGTGACGGGTCGAACGCCAACTGTGCCGCTGGGGTTGGCGCCCTGCGCTGCAGACCCGTCGATCCGAGTTCAATTCCCGCTCGTGGCCACCAACACCGGGGATGATACGTACCGGTCCTAGGCCTCCCCTCGGTCGACTCCGCCTCGAATGAGTAACTGGTGCGGTGTGTAAACATCGCCACTGGGGAGGTGAAGGTAGCCGGCCGTGTTGTTGGTCATCCAACCCCCTCGTGGTGCCGTACCGGCCTTCGTAGGTGCTGGCTTTTAAAGCACTTGCCCCGACAGTCAGAGGCTATACGGGTGATCTGTGTCTTTGTGTGTATCACCCCCCTCCCTCCACCCCACCCTCTGCTTAGGGCACGAGCCGCCCCTCCCACTACCACGTGCTGTGGGACGACAACCGCTTCTCTGCGGACGAGCTGCAGGTGCTCACCTACCAGCTGTGCCACACGTACGTGCGCTGCACGCGCTCCGTCTCCATCCCCGCGCCAGCCTACTACGCCCACCTGGTCGCGTACCGGGCACGCTACCACCTGGTGGAGAAGGAGCACGACAGGTACCTGCACACCTGCACACCTGCACACCTGCACGCGCGTTTAGCTCGCTCACGCGCTGCCTCGCTCGTTGGCACGCTCGCTCAATAGCGTGCTTGCTGACTCGGTGGCAGCTCGCTCGTATGTACGTTCACACGCTCGCTGACACGCTGTTTGTGCATACTTACGCCTCTTCGCTCCCCTGTGGAGCATAAGGCTGCAACAAGCCCATGCCATGCTGGACGTGTCCATCATCTTTAGCTGCTTGTGCATGTGTACGCGCCAATGTGTTTACACACTCGCGTGTCCGTTAGCACGTGTGTGCGTGTGTGCGGGTGTGTGTGTGGGCGCAGTGGAATGGTAGAGCAGCGGTTAGTTGGCTGTACAACGAACCTGGCGAGTCAAATTTGATACCCACTCGCAGGCAACACCAGTGACGATTATATGAACTGGTCATGGGCCTCCCTTAGGTTGTGTCAGCCTCAAATGAGTACCTGGTGCAATGTGTAAACATCACCACTCGGGAGACAAAGGCAGCTGGGAAGTGGTGCTGGCCTCCCACCCCCTCGTGTGCCGTGCTGTCCTTCACAGGTGCTTGCAAGCGGTACTTTCCCCAAATGTCTGTTAAGGCTGTATGGGGGGGTTTTTGTCTTTGCAGTGGAGAGGGCAGCCACATCTCAGGACAGAGCAATGGACGCGACTCGCTGGCGCTCGCGAAGGCCGTGCAGGTTCACCAGGATGCGCTGCGCACCATGTACTTCGCCTGATGTGGAGCTCCTCCAATCGGGACGCGGGAGGGATGGATGTGCGGGGGGGGGGGCGGGGAGGGAGGAGCCAGGCGCTGGCGCCGGAGGGGAAGGGTGGGGGGCGGATCGCAGTCTCACGATGTCACGACCTCTTCAACGAGGAGGATGAGATGCGAAGACGTCGCTCCTTTGCCTGCCATAGTAGGAGGGGGGGGGTGGTTGAGGTGTGTGGGTACGTGCGTGTGTCGTGTGCGTCCGTACGTGCGTGACCGCGCGCTTGTGTACCTAGAGCAGCGTGGTAGCTACGCCATGCTGATGAATCCCGACAGCGCAGAGACGTAGCTTCTTTTCTGACCGAGCCAAACACTTTTAAGGCGTGCGAGCGAGTGAGTGCGAGTGTGCGAGTGAGTGTGTACACACCAGACTACATCTGTAGCCCAATGTATTAGCACGGACATTGCGCCGCAGCCCAGCGGCATTGTACATGTTGTCCGCTGCCAGTAGGGGGCGGGGAGGTGTGGTGGTGGTAAGGGGAGAAGGAGATTAGTGAAAGAATTTTGCCGCTGGCGGCTGGGCCATGCTGGGGTCCGGTTTGGCGCTGTTTCCGATTTTACAACACTGCCGTGAAAATCCGGCCGCATCTGCACCGCGTGATAATGCGCGGTTTTGTGACGAAGAGGCACTGCTGGCCAGGTGGGGGGGTTGGGTGTTTGAGTTGGGGTGGGGGGGGTGGCGGGGTGGGTGGTCGAGTGGACGGATCGTTCGTGGGTGGCACAGCAAGGAATGGAGAAAGACGGAACGGTGGCCGAGGCGGCGACGACGGGCGGTGGCTGTGACTTAAAGAACGGCGACGCTCGCGGACGCTGCCCCGTCGTGCGGACGAGAGGTGTTCGTCGTGGCGGCTAGGCCACGATATTTCCGCTGAACACCGCAGCTTTGGGAGTGGAGCGTACGCATGCGGACGTACGTACGGAACGGACGGGATGGACGGACGGGTGAAGACTCCGAGAACCGACCTTTGCTATCTGTGCGACGACGCTCCCACTCCGGACTGCGGACGACAAGGCCCCGCTCCTCTGGATTCTGATCGCTCATGCGGTGGGAGAGTTGCCCACAGTTCGACCGATGGATTACTATTTTAACCGCCCGTTTCCACCGTCGTTTTAAAAAGAATAATTATTAGTTATTTGTTGTAATTCTGGTTCATATGAAGGCGATGGATGCCGTGCACAGAAGCTGCAGTGGCCATTTTTTCGGGTTACATTTTGCAGTCTCGGGGAATTCAGCATGGAGCTACTGCGACACTCGCGAATGAAACTGTTCTGCAATCGGACTGAGGTTTTGTGTTCTTGACGTGGTCCTCGGCAACCGTCGACGGGAACGTGTGCAGCAACACCCGTGCACAGCCTGCCTGGTGGCCGAGTCGCGAACGTCGCAACTGCCGTGTGTGTTCTTTTTGAAGAGTTTGATGGCAAGAGCCGGCGATGTTGTCACCGAGTCCGTGGGCCAGAGCATTTCATTGGTGCCACGGAAAGTGGCGAAACTGTTGATCGATTTCTTACAATTCGCTTTTATTGACCAAATAATTTTAATTTCAACTGCGGGAGTTATTTTTGGTTTGGCGAGGCGCGTGCAGTGTTCCTGCTCGCCGCACTGCTGCACTATTAACCCGGCGACCTGTGTTCGTTTCCCGGCCACATGGCCACCATCACGGGCAAGTGATATCCGAACCGGTCCGTGGCCCCTTTCCTTATTTGCCAATCCCTGACCAGTGGTGGTAAACTTTGGTCGAACACCCCCCCCCCCCACCCCATCCTCTTCCAGGTGACCGAACACGGCGTGGGGGAGGCAGCCGTTCATCCAGCAGCAGATTGAGCTTTCCAATTTTAACGATGACAGTTTCGCAACTGTGTTTTGGGTGGTTACCGAACAAGGGAGACATCTGACGTGAGCCCGTGCACGCCGGGGAGAGGACTTTATTTCGAGAGTAAAGCCGGGATGTGAAATGGGGGGGCGGGTGGGGGAAGTGGGCGGGGCGGGGGGGTATAATGGGAGCGGGGGAGTGGTGAGAGCCCATCTTTCAGTATAAAACCCCAAGTGTAAATAATTTTGTAAAAATAACAACGCCAGCAGCTCGCTCGCTCATTTTACGAGATCGGAAGGAATGCTTCCGAGTCGAATTTTTCCAACTCTTCAAACGGGGGCGGGGGGTGCCCGCCAGATTGTTTCTGGTTTCCCATGGCTTCACCTTTGTAAACGTTTGTGTAGAGGTGCATGGCGGCGGGGGCTGGCGGGGGGGGGTGCGTTTCTGGTTGGTTGGGTAAATGTGTTCTCTTGCGCCACGAGTGAGCGGGCGCGGGCTTGTGTGCACGTGTGTGTACGCGCGACACACTTGTGCACCATCAGCAAGGTCCTGGAACAACAAAATGTATCTTACTGGAACAGTCAAACTTCAAACTTCCTCAATGAGACATTTGTACGAAATGTAAAAAAAAAAAATCTGAGTGATGTCGTGTTACGGAGGTGAGAAAAGAAAATGCCATTTTTAATGTTTAAGCTGCACACATACACACAACGCATCTTAGCATAAGTTAAGCCGGGAAGCTCTTAACTGGGCAAAGGAATGCATCGGTGTCGGGAGGAAGTTCTTGGTAGTCCCGTAGATCGTCGTCGCGTACGTCTCTAGCTATTTGCAACGCGCCGTGCGAGTCGTCTTTGCGTCGTGTCGATCGGGAAGGGAAGGGCCCCCCGCCCCCCGCCTTCCCTCCCCGTAGATCAACGTCTTTGCGACGCGGGCGTGCGCGTCGCTCCTCTGTGAATATTATTTGTTGAGTCTTTACAATCTTTACTTAAACAATAAGCGAGGTAAAAAAAAAAACTTTTTGATAGATGTTTTTTTGCGTTCGCGTGAAATGTTGTGGTGCGGCGGGGGGGAGATTCTGCACCCCCCCCCCACCACTCTTATTGTTATCAACGCTGTTCTCCTGCTTTTTTTTATGCGTTTATTTTTTTAATCGTAAGGTTTTAAAAACCACAAAAAATGTGGCGACGCGGATCGCCGAATTTTTATCGTCAATTTGTGATTTTAAGAATTTTAAGTATTTCTCTTTCGCGCTCGCTCTGTGCAACTGCCCACACAGATACACACGCACACACAACAAAGACAAAGACCCCGCCCTTATAGCCCAAACAGACTATCGGGGCAAGTGCGATTCGCGAGCATGTAATGAAGGTCGGCATGGTGCACAAAGCGGTGGGTGGCCAGCACCGCGCCCGGCCACCTTTGTCTCCCCAGTGGCGATGTTGACGCATCGTATCAGCTGCTCGTTTTAAGGCCGAGTGGACACGCTCGTGCACGAGGAATTGAATTGCAAAAGCCCCAAGCAAAAAATTTACAATTTGGAACGACGTTTTATCTGGAGATTACAACCTGCTTTAACAAAATCTCGGCTCTGGATCTTAACCATCGTACGCTGCGGCCAGTGCACCGCGTATCTCAATTTAAACACAGACTTAGAGCAACAGCCCCTGCACCGACGACGACGACGACGACAACAACGTTGCATGTACAAGACGCGCCGTAACTGGTGCAAAAAGGGGCTTGCGTGCGCTGCGCGTGACCCCGACCAGCCGTGTGCAGTATCTTTGTTGGCTCCTAACCTTTGGAACTCCTTGCAACGCGCGCCCCCTCTCCAGCTAGGGTCCGTCGATTCTGGTTGTGTCCGTGTTTTGTTTTGTTCAATGGCCATATGTGTTGGATAAGGCCTCTTCTTCGTTGTTGTTTTCAACTGACGGTTTGCCGGCTCCATGGATGCGCGAGTTCGTTGCGTCTGCCGTTATCTCCCCTGTATCTTATCGTTTATTTTTATTTTTTTAGGGCCCCTGCTTTTACGCTGCAGCGGTTTGATCGATAAGCGCTCGGAGAGAGAGGGACGAGATCTTTTTGTCCCGCAGAGCGCCATATAAATGCAATGTTGTTGTTTTCGTGGTTATTGCCACTTGTTGCCGGGCAATCGATGGTTTTCCCAGCCACCGCCCCACCCTCACTACCCCTCGTGTTTCACAAATTCGGGGGGCGCTGAGAGGGGGCGGCGGGGCTACTCGATTGGAGGCATTCCCACGGGCGCGGCGGGTCTCGCGCTTCCATTCGAGAACCACGGGTTTTATTTCGGTAACTTTTGCGGTGAAACGTAGCGGCAGCTCCAGTGGATGCGTCGTATTAATAACAGTTGTACACTGCCGTTTGCGTTGCGCCCAGTTTTACTCCTAGCCCTGAGGGGACCCCCTCCCCCCCACCACCATCAATGGCAACTTGCGTGACACAGTTTGAACACGTGCCCACTTGCAGGCCCGTGAGCTTAATCCGGTAGTAGGGGGTCGAACGTTGCTATTTTGTTCTTCCACTGAAGTCCATATGTCGACGGATGAGTCCATCTACGGAACAACGGGCGGCGACGTACGGGAGTCCGTTAGCTCTTAGGCTTGTTGGGTTTTTGTTGTTGTTGATGCACAGGATATCGATGTTGTTTAGCTGACCGTTTATGACGAGCGTGAAAAAAATCTCCTTAAGCATCTGGTCGCTACTTGCCCAGGCTGCTTCTCCCGGGCGCTTACGCGACGCGGGTCTGAAACTCTGAATTAGAAGTGAGAGAGAGGAGGGGGGGTGGAAAAATACTTTACAAGTCACCTTTCGGGAGCGTTCTCAGTGACGTCACTGCGCAAGTGATGCTATATTTAAAGATACACGACGGGTGTCGTCACCGGAGAGCGCTCCCGAATTATTTTAAAAACATTTATTTCGTTGTTTGTTTTTCGATTTAAAGCTTTCGTGACTGCAGGGATTCATCTTCTTGGTTCTTTCGGTAAAGTCACGTAGAAGGGAAATAATAAAATAATAAAAAATAAAACATAATAACATTATTCTCACGACGTTTCGGCCACAACGCAAGCAGCCGTCCTCAGGTGAAGACCAGGGCTGTCGGGAAGACAGCGTCTGAATGAAACACCACCAGGCTTGGAGCGTATTATTAAGCTGTTCTTCACCTG